AAGGTGAATGATGAAACTTTCAATCTCATCATTTTAGTACTATACGTTGATGACATGCTTATCTTGGCAAAATATCAATCAAATGTCGATGAATGCAAGAGCCAGCTGAATTATGCATTTAAGAAGAAGGATATGAGGGAGTCAAGAAGGATACTATGCATGGATATTTATAGAGATTTTGAACAGAATAAGCTATGGCTAAGTCAGGGCAAGTATGTTCGCCGTATGTTTGACAGGTTCAACATGGCCGATTCGAAAGGAGTAGGGACTCCTATGCCGACACATTTTTAACTCTCCGCAGCCCAATGTACTACAGATGCTGTAGAAAAGGGAAGAATGTCATGTCTTTCCTATGAACAAGCTATAGGCAGCCTGATATTTTTAATGGTGTGCACTAGGTCTGATATTGCTCTAGCAATGGAGAAGGTGACCAGGTACATGTCGAATCTAGGATAAGTTCACTGGAAAGCAGTGAAATGGAATCTGAGATATCTGAAGAAAACTGTGGATTATGGCTTATTGTTTGATGGCTTATTAGACATTGTTAAGTCCTTGCTTGGCTACGTTGATGCTGACTAGAGACGAGATTTAGACAAGAGGAGATCTACAACTGGATATGTGTTTACACTTGGCGGAGGAAGCATTAGTTGGAGATCTATCTTGCAGAAGTGCGTAGCTAAGTCAACAACAGAAGCTAAGTACGTGGCAGCAGCAGAAGCAGCAAAGGAAGCTATTTGGTTGGATAAGCTTATCATGGAGATGAGATTAACACAAAGTGTGGTCAATCTTCATTGTGATAGCCAGAGTGTTTTACATTTGGCTGCGAACCAAGTCATAAATAGCAGAGTGAAGCACATCAACATCAGATATCATTTTATTAGATAAACTGTGTCTGATAAAACAATTGAGCTAGTCAAGATTGACAGTAAACTCAATCCAGCTCATGCATTGACCAAAGTTATTCCTTTGGAGAGTTTCAGGCGACATTGTGCTACTATGCAAGTTGTGCATAGGGAGCACGAGAGATATGGTTCTTAGTTACCTCTATATATTGTTACTCTATCTTCTTATGGCTACGGCTTACTTTTAGTTCACTCTCGTTTAAAGAGGGACCTTGTGATATGTTTTTGTCTAGAACTTCTCGCGGAGTGATAATATAGATTGGAGAGGTGACTGAAATTCTTTGACATGAGTTAAGGTGAGATTGTTGAGTTACCTCTATATATTATTACTCTATCTTGATATGAGAGTAATAATATAGGTTATAGATGTGACTGAAATTCCTTGACATGAGTTAAGGTGAGATTGTTGAGTTACCTCTGTATATTATTACTCTATCGTGTAATGACTACGGTTTAGTTCTAGTTAACTCTCATTTAAATAAGGATCTTCAGTCAGGATTTTGTCTAGAACTTTCGGCTGAGTAATAATATAGGTTAGAGAGGTTACTGAGACTCATTGACGCAAGTTAAGGGGGAGATTGTTGAGTTTAACTCTGGTTAAAAAGTTAACCGATGTTAGTTAACAAAGGTTAACCACATATGTAGCTATTTATAGCTTATAGTAGTTGACTACCTTGGGTATATATACCCTGAGGGTGATAAGAAGACGATCATTTCAAGCATTCAAGAAGTAAACTCTTTAGTGCTCTTCTCCTCGTGGACGTAGCCCTTGAGGATGAACCACGTTATACTCTCGTGTCTCTGGTGTCGGTGTAACTAAATGATGAGTGGTTCTGAGTTTTAGCGTTTACAGTGTTACATGCTTTTGAAAAAAAAACACCAAGAATATGAAGATCTCAAACACTCACACCAAGAATTGAATTATGTGACTTGCCAGTGTAGGCAACACGTAAAGAATCACAAAATAGATTTATCAATAAAATCTTTTAAATTATCAAAATTTTGCTAGCTTTTCTTAAAATGAACACATGTATTGATACTAATTCTTAAATTCTTAAACATCCTAATTCTTAACTAGTATTAAATTATTCTAAGTTAAATAGACTTGAAATCTGAGTAATTTCTAATTTTTTCATTAATTCATGTCATGAAAATTTGTAAGCTCTGTACTAACTTTCATTCAGGTTTATTTCAAATCGTTTTGCGGTAGTTCATCATGGTTCTATGAATTTAGGATTTTTCCTTATATTCATGTTCCAAACACACTCTTACATATGCTCCACATTCATCACTTAAGTTCATTCACACATCGATACTCCAAGATTCTGAAAACATCATTCTATCATTGATGAAACAAGTTTCTACACATGAAGTCTTTAAACTTGTTTGAGACTCTCTTCCTTGACTCTCTATATATACTATGTAAGAAATTATCATAGTAACAAATGGTATTTCTTATCCAATTTAATTTAAATAAAATAAAATATAGTAAATTGGACTAGTTTCCAATAAATGGTAACATGTCATTGGACTCCCAAAATCTAAATGTTTCTTTATTCATAGGTTGAGAAAGCGACATGCCATTTGAGTTTTTCTAACCACTAGAAACTACATTTGCCACTCAGTCAACATTAAACATAGTCTAAACAATGAAGTTTTCAATATTTAATCAAACCAATCAAAACTAATCATGTAGGCAATATCTCACATACTTGAAATCTAAAGTTTGATAAAAAAACAAGATAGTTGTGCTCTGTGATAACAATTAAATACAAAATTGGAGCATAATGGTACAGATTTGTTCTCACAGGGACAGAAACAACACCAAAGATTCAAGAACTATCACTGATTAACATTCTATTGAGTTTTACTTTTCAAGCACATGTCACTCCCAGAAGACACTGCTCGATTACAGCCAAAGGCCCAAAATGAAAGTTATCAACAGCAGACAGATGCCTGAGAGAGGGAACCTTCGGAGTGCTTCACAAGATTATCAATAGCGATTCAAGTGTTTCGGTGATGAGCAGCTTGGACGGATAGTTGTCAGGATAAGCTGCGGAACCAGCTCTTTTGTACATACAATTTGATCATGATTAGGATCGAGGAGTCACCTTGTCGAGATAGGAGCTAAAAATAATATTTGATCTTTTAGACGTGTAAATCAAAGCTAATGTTGTAAGTACCAACAAAGATAAAGTATATATCTGCTGCCAAATCATGCGTGGAATCACCTTCATTCAGGTTAATCAAATTTCAGATTAGTTTTCATTATTGAAGTTGATACTCTATAATCTAGGGACGCTTAAAATCCCGTTCATACCAACACATCACTAAATCATCTTAGCTCGCGAGTCGCCATGCACAAAAATTAACCAATGAGTGGTTTAGAACTTTTGTTCACCAAATTGATAAAAATGACAAGAATCTTTGTGATGACTTTGGATTCCAAAACTTCCAACACAACTCATAGTTTCAAATAAATCTTGCCATTTTCTGAATATCAACAGAAGTTTTGGCAATAAAAAAAAAAATAGACAATACACAATCTCAAACTAAACAAAACAAAAAAACCAAAGATTCAATTCATAAATTGAAAGTGCAAATAGATGTGAATTATAGATCAGTTCATAGTATACACAATATACAGTCTCAAACCAAACAAAATAATGAAATCAAAAAACCACTTCGTAAATTAAAAGTGCAAACAAGTGTGAGTTATAGAGCATCTCATCGTATATCTTTCACATATGATTTTTGACATGAAAATTTAATACCAAAAATGTCTCTATAACAAATCATCTACATTTTATCAATCTTCATCTATTGTTTTTGCCTCTTTCTCCACTGCAACCATGATGGCATTTAGAGATGATTCTAGTCTATATTTAACAAAATCAAAATTCATATCAAAATCTTCTTGAAAATCATCATTATAGTCCTAAGTAAGCTTCAAATCTTCCATCGCTTTGGAAATTTTGCAAAGGGATGAAAGTTCATTAAGATGGATATTATCTCATTGCTAGCGGAATTAAAGAACTACATCATATGGAGTGGAGACTTCACCAGCAATTCAAACAAAGATTTAATGATGGATTTTTGGCAGTTTGTTGCTGGTGCAAAAATTCTGCTTGTGTTTGCAATGAATTTCCATCATTCCTCATGATGCCGCAGTGATTTTTTTTGCAGATGTCATTGTCAAAGACAAATATTAGCAACCTTATGACGGTGGAACACAGAAATATTTTTAATCATCAGATCTAGTCTTAAGGAGCATTTAAAATCTTCTCAACGTCATTTTGACTATTGGCATTTGATCAAAATAGTTCCTTTAGCATGGCACTTGAAGACGATAAAGATTTTTTTATGAAATCAGTGGATGAATTTAAATAAAGTTTATTTGAATTACAGATTAAGCAAAGTTTTAATTATTAATAGGATATCTCACTTCATTAGTTTGTTTTCTTTTAGTTTTTTTAGTTTTTTCAAAATTTAGTTTTTTGCAATATCAACAACTTATCATTTTCAAACTAATGGTCAAACAAAGAATGAATAGAAATGTAAAATATATGCTACATCCATTCACATTAAAAGAGTAAAAATGTGAGATTTTGTTTTACATCTTGTGTAATTTGTAAACAACAATTATGTAACTGCATCCACAAATGTATCTTCATTTTATTTCGTGTACGTTGTTCATTACATTACTCCATCAAGTTTTATGAAACTTTCAAAAGGAAAGTAATTCTCAATTAATCCAATATTCATAATATAAAAATTAATGAGCAAAATATCAAAGTAAATTATTGAAATTTTTTTAAAAATAAAGTAGTAGGTAAGTAATACTAAAAAAACTGGATTTTGGGATGTTTTTATGGATGTTTTAAAGATTTAACTCAAGATCATGTAAGAAGAAATAACTGTTTTCGATAATTATAAAAAACAATCGATTGAACGAACTTTCAAGTATAATCGTGAAGAAAATTTATAGATTTTTATGTTTATGCATTTTACCTTCTGATATAAAATATCAATGGCATATCTTGAATAAAATAAAAACAATAGATTGAACGAGCTTTCAAGTGTACTCGTAAAGAAAATTTATAGAAATTTATTTTTATTTTTATGCATTTTACCTTCTGATATTAAATAACAATGGCATATCTTGAATATCCTCGTCAACATTGATGACCTGGATGAATTCAAACCCTTCGATTTACTGGAAAAGAGTTTCTGAAATCACAGAGCTGTTTTCCATAGAGTAAAAGTAGACATCTTCGGTCACTGGAGATGAATTTCATAGGGATGATATTTATAAGAAATCTTGGAAAGGAATCGCTCAAAACATGCTCGAGGAATGATTTACTTCAAGGGGTGAAGGAGTTAGATTGCAAATGCATGCAGCCTTGGTTCTCCAGTCCATTGGGAGTCTACCCAGGTCTACTTCTGAACAGCAAGCCAGCCACACTAGAGTCTCTCAGGCTTTAATCCACAGATTCCACTTCTCTGCATGTTGATTCGTGTTTTCGATCTACGTGCTTGCTCACCAGGTTTTGCAGCGAAATCGTGCGCAAAGTCATTCACATGAAGCACCGCGCAAAGGCGGGCACTGGAAAGGACTTGACATCTGTGCAGTGCGAGGCATGCACAGATGTAGAATTCTCATCACTTGGCTGATCTCGTGGACACGGTATGTGGTAGACCATGCAGTCAGTGTGCTGATTTCTTCAGTAGATGTATCGATCGGAGGGCATCGGACTGCCACACATGTTATCGAAGTTTCTCTGGAGAGCGCTGTCTCGTAGAAATTCGAGATCAGATTGTACCCTTGACCAAGGTTCTAAGACAGGATACGAGGAAGGTCTCATGGCTTGCCGCTGGTTGCTTCCCTGCCGGCCTTCCTGGCCTGAACGGCTGCACCTCCTTGGGCTCTGGCTTCTTTAGCTGCTCGTTCTTCTCGGATCTTCTGCGCTGCATCTTCCTTAGCCTTGTCGGCAGCAGCGCGTCTGGCAGCTGCGGCTTCGGCCTGTTTCTCTTTGGCTGCGCCTCGGTCAAGCGCGGCTTTGGCGGCAGCAGCCTTTTCGGCCTTGGCCTTGTCCAGAGCGGCAGTTTCCTTGGCCTTTCGCGTTGCTTCTGAAGCGGCTGAAGCTGCTTCTTTCTCTTGCTGCACTTGCACAGCTTTAATCTTCGCAGCTTCGACCTTTTCTCTCTCCCTGGCTTGATCCTGCTGGAGAGAGCTTGGTTCCGCCATGGCTGTGTCCGGATTGCGATGTCCGGAACAACATCAACGTGTTAGATTACAATCTCGAGAGAATCGTCGTGCAGCTAGCTGCCTACGCTTCCAAGAACAAGATACTCTTTGATTTCCTCTTTGCTGGTCGCGATGGCATACTACTAGACTTACGAGGCTGCACATCTCCCATTCAAAGCAGCGATCGAAATGTGACTAGATGGCCGAATTCTGTAACAGCCGCAGTAGTTTTCAAATTATCTAGCTCCACATGCATCGACGACTGAACCTTTAAATAACAACAGTGTGCACGTCCAACATACTTATGGATTTAGGGGTTTAGGAGGGGAGAGCACACGCGACAAAGCGCTCGTTCTGAAGGCCAGAACATGAGAAGAAAAGAATGTCTCTCTGGACAATACATGATCTCCGCTGCTAGAGGAATGAAAAGCAAACGAAAAGCCACAGAATCATTTTGCGACAAGAAAACCAGTTGCAGAAAGTTGCAATCCGGATTGAGCCCTCATCGCTGAGATACGCACGCATCGGACGTGAACCCGCGGACCTCAAACTGCATGCGCACCTGCCAGAATTTCTTCACGATCGGGGTCTGTAGGGAAAGGAAGAACAAATCTAAATCTTTGGCCGTAGCGGACCAGCACGACCAAATCCAAATCCAAAATTCAAATCCGGCCTGTAACCATGGACGACAGACGAGAGGCAGAGGCAGGGGCAGATAGTGGGCACCTGCAGTTAGAGAAACGTCAGTCAGCGAGAACGTCGGTCGACGAGGGCAGCGGGGGGAGCGCGACGAAGGACAGAAGTCAAGCGAGCGGAGAAGTCTGCGTCGGAAAGAGGGGACGGCGGCTGTTTTGAACGGAACGGACGTTCTTTGGCGTCAACAGTTCCGTCCGTTCCCAAGCGCCGGCGCGGTGAGCGGGCACTGGTCACTGGCCAGGCATTTCTTTGGTTGCGGAAATGCCGAAATTCTCGCGACCAACCCTCCTCCTCGGCCTCCTCGAGCCTGCTTCCCTAGCCCCGAGCCTGCATGCGGCCCTGCCGGTAGATAGGTTCGGGTCGGTGGGTGGCCCGCGCCAATGTGACTTGGGCAACCGGAGAAACCGGAAGCGTCGACTTCGACCTGGTGCCGACGAGACAGAGCTGCAGCTGATGGGATTTGATTCGAAGTGAAGTGACATTGAGGGCGACGAGATCGACCGCCAGGCAGCGCATCGGATCCATTCCTTCGGCAGCTCAGAGTGGACAGCCAGTGATTTAATGGGAAAGAAAGGGACTCTCTGCGAGTCGGAAATCGGGCAGATACTCCGAAGGTTGGCATTTCCCCTCCACTCTTGTCTTTGATCGTGATTGGTGAAATTGGAGATTGAGAAAATCTGGAGCGTTTGTTCACGTGTTTCATGCGTCATTTGCAGCTGGCCAGCTGCAAATGACGCACGTCTTTCTCGGGTTTTTCCAGATTGCACTTCAATTCTCTTATTTTCTCACGAATTTTGACTCTGCCACAAGGTGTGCTGATTCTGATATTAATCCATGATCGTCGTTTGGTTGCATCCGGGTAGCTGGCATACCGTCGAGAGTTCTGTAAACCGCACCACGCGGCACTCATTCATACTTGCCACTTGTACCAGGGTTCGATCAAAATCCCTTAAGACTCCTTTTCTTGCTACACCTTACGAGTAGAGGCAAAACTCGAAGAAAAAATTTGCGACTGTTTTCCGAATTTGTATCATGGACGATTCTTTTGTTAATCGCTCTGCCGGGCAAAATCCCGTCGTGCATCGACAAATATTGGCTCTCTTGCAAATAATGTACCGGCTGAATGCTGTCCCTTTTAAGAGTAAACCGACCTTTCAAGCGAGATTAATCAACATCGTTCGTATGCGTAGAATATATACCTACCGAAGTCTGCATTCATGGTAAGAGGAACCTTACATTTTTTGGGATAGCCTTGTGGCAGTGAAGAGCCTCAAACGTATTTCAAGGCAGACCTCTTACCAGCGCATTTCTGGTAGTAATGAGGGCAACCAAATAAATCTGTAATGCTCAAACTTCGTGGACTGCGGACTGGTGGCTCCGTACTCTTTTTCACATTAGTAACAACTTGGTACTCTGGAGCTTCTACTTGCCTTACAGAAGCTACTGGTTTTCTTTCTTCCTTTCTCTTTTCTCCAATGCTCGATGGACCTTTGTGTTGCAGCCACGAATAATTCCTGCTCGCCGACTTCATTTCCGTTGAGCATATATTCCTGGCGCTGCAGACATTTCTATATGCTCAGATGTAGTACTGTGATTCACGTCACTATCTGCTCTATAACTCCCCTCGTAAGATTAATATTGAGTCCATGATACCATGGTATACTGGTTGTGTTACTTCAGTCTATTTTGAGGTAGCCAGATGATTAGTACGCATAATTTGCGTACATACTTAGCCGTGATTGCCGCCTGGATTATATCTCGTTCATGTTATTACCGAAGCAAGCACATGTTGTGGAATTTTCGTTTGCTGTGTTTTGTGCTGTATAATTTAGACTTTACACTACTTTTCAGCACCCCTATCGGTTATTTTTCCTTCGTTCTTCTACACGTGTTTTCGAGTTCCTTACTCGTGCATTCTTCATTGCAGATATAGTGCTGTGACAGTCATGGGACTCATTCGCGAGATTGCGAGGTGTGAAAGTTCGAAGCTCGACTTCAATGCTCTTGTGAAGAAGTCTAGTACCGGTATAAGTTGTGCTCGCGAATATCAAGCTTTGTGGAGGCACATCGCGTACCGTGCAGAATTGGACGATGCCTATGAAGAAGATGCCGAACTCCTGGTTTGTCTTCATTTTCTTGGATAACATTTTCGCTTGTAATCGGTTCGAGCTCATATGGAAAAGCTTGATTGCGAGGGACGGCTCAGGTGTGTTTTACGTCAGTCCCAGACGCTCGGTTTTGGCACATGTACTTGGATAGCTAATTCTTGATGTTAGCCGGAGGAGTGAAGTAAGTGAAGTCAGGTGTATCCTCTGCCGGGACATGTAGTTGCCATTTTGAAAGTACCCACCAGCAACGGTCTCGGGGTTTTACAGTTTCCATGTTATGGCAGGCAGATAGACTGAGAAAATTTGAAAGGAACACGGTCTTCACATGTGCTTCCTGCGTAACGCATAATCAGTCTAGTGGTCGTTTCACATTAAAATGGAGATCCAAGTCAGAGTGTTGTTCTAGAGCTACTTAGTGCACACTGTTATCAAAGTTTTTGACCATATTTAGCTCTCTTATAGGTCCTCACTCAGCTTTTGTTTGAGTAGACAGTCAAAGTTTGGTTGTCTCCTGATTAATTTCTGTTTTGAATACATTTTCAGGAGGATGACAGTGATCTCGAGTTTGAGCTCGAACCTGCGCCAAGTGTCAGTCCAGAGGTTGCTGCTGAAGCTGCGAACTGGGTGAAGGTATTCTCTTGTCGGCCTTAAATGTACAGAGCACACTCTAAGTCACTTGTCTTTAAGGAGATTGTGTTGTGCGTGGTGATACAAGGTTTCCAATCTTGTAATTGTTATATCGCTTAAGCTCTTTTTTGCGATTGTGGTCGAGTGCAGATGCGTATTGTGCTTTTAAGTTTGTGGTAATCATTTTGATCAATTCCAAGATTTTATCAATTCCTGTGTGCAGCTAGCGATTTAGTAAACTTCTCTCTGTATTCTATTGCTACATCTGGGTGTGAGATTCTTAGAGCAATTGATGGCCGACATTCGTCACACAGTAGTAGAAGCACTGATAATGTATTGTCGATATTCAGGCAGACATGCAACGCTTTGGAATCGTTGCACCTAAGAGGAAGGGGGACCTTCTTACAAAATTAAAAAGTAGAGACGCAGATTCCGCATCAACGGTTGGAAATCAGGTAGGCAACAGCCTGTATTCCTCTACTCTTGTACGGTGTAACTATGTATAGGCGTAGGGTCAGAACATCAATCTCTGTGCATGCTTCGTGTACATTTTTTTTTATGAACGTGTTCTCGGCCTACTTTTTTCTTCTGTTTCTTCACTTTACATGCGTTCTCTTTTCTATCTTACTCATTTGCTCTCCATTAATTGTACGCATTGTTCTCATGACATAATTCTCGTTCATTTCTCCTTTCTTGCTGCTTAGTTTCGCTGCATGGTGCTCAGCGTGTCTGTCATCATTGTTCTTTCGTACGTTTCACCTCGCGTTTTTGCTCAAATTGTTCAAATCTTCCGAGATGGCCTCATCGCAATCTTCTGTCCTCTTCTGGGATCGATACTTTTCCTTGTATGGTAAACAGTTATCACTAGGTGGGGTCATGGTGCCTCGACTTAGATGATCTCTTTCTAATAAATAGCCATGCAGACGACAATATATTCTTTGCTCAATAATGACTAATTTGATATGTATCATTTCCAGGTTGGAATGAATCAAAATATTCTAAGCCTTGCACTGGCAAATCATATACACATCGTGTGTCCTAGTGAGTCAGGAATAGTTGTTGCCCATATACTCTCTTATTCTTCCTATCCTGGATAAGGGTAAACCCTACAGCTCACTCGATTTCTATTCACAATACCACCTCATTGTAGGCCGGTCATAGCCAGTACTTTTCGCATCTAGCTAATTTAGTCTGTCTCTGAGTAATACATCTTTTAATGCTTTATAGTACACCTGGACAAGTTGTAGAAGTTGGCCGAGCTAGTTGTCTGTCATCGTCACTATGCATCGCGAGAACTGCGGTATGCTTGCACAGAGTTGTTTAGTTTATCAAGGTTTATATCTATGCTCTCCTGGTCAAAGACAACATACCGTGCTTTTCACGTAGTAGAATTTTCAAGTAGGTATAATCAGCTAGCACCAAACCTTCGATGTTGAGAAGCAGCGAACGAGATACACGGCTATTGGTCTTATCGATCTCAGGTAACCTTGCCTTGAAGAAAAGCGATAATTGCATCCAGGAAATCGCAGGAAGTTCTGGAGCCCCTCTACTTAACCTGAGCCACGAGATATGTAAAAGGATTTAGTTTTTAGGAGTATAACGCCTCCATTCTGGTAATGTGAGGCTTATCTGGACTGGGGCTGTGGCAGGCGTTGACTGCAGGCCTTTTTGAACTTTGGTTGGACAGGCTCCTGCATCCTCAGGTCTATCTGCAAGTGCTACGGATATAAGTGCCAAGGGAGCTCCAGCAGCTGCAAGTGCACCGGCTTGGGATGCTGGCACCACCAGCCCGACTGGAACTACGAATCAAATTTCAAGCGCTACTCCCGAATCTCCCTCGGCTGCAAGCACACGGATCGCTCTAGGACAATCGGAACGTAAGAAGAGAAAGCTTTGGACCCAAGAGGAAGATCAGGAGCTAATTGCAGCGGTGGAGAAATGTGGTGAAGGCAACTGGACAAATATCCTGAAAGGAGCTTTCACACATGATCGCACTGCAGCCCAACTGTCACAGGTAGACCACCTGCACGCTCCGCGGACATTAACTATGCTCGTGATATTTTATCCTCTTGTTGTTCGTCACCCCCTTCTGTTCTCATGTTTTCTCGATACTATCGGGTAGAGCCTAGGCTACTAACCTCAAAATATTGTTAGCTCATCGTCATAGTCAAGTGCTTTGGTTACCTCTTGTTGCTTCGCCGTTCCATCAATTCATTATAGTTACCCGAGCTGGAATATATGCTGGTTGTGGCATCGGTTGTCTAATCAATAATTGCTGACTTGCTTGAGTTACGATCTCTGTACAGATGCGTTGATGCGCTTTCAGAAAATTTACCACCCTTGTGTACACTGCTCTTTGATTTCATGTCATGTCCACTTCTCCACCTCTTATTTTATTCATATTATCAGTTCTACTCTTTTTCGGCGCTTCTTACGTCTACCCATGTACACAACTAGTTCTACTATGCATTTACTCCTTTAAAACTACCGTCTACGAACATGAACATGGATATCGCCCCCGTTTCGGGTTGATCACTCCATAATGCAACATACATTACACTCTATGACTTGACTCCAGAGAAGATCTGTAGAGTTCAAACGTCTTTCTTTGGTTTTCAGCATACGGATGGATACAGTTTCTCTAACCTCAATGTACTACGTACATTTTACTGAATGCGTGGTTTCTGCAGGTTCGTCCCTTAAGTGATTTTAATCCTCATTATATTTCATGCTCATTCTGGTAGTCTTAGGAAATTGTTACTGGGTTTGTATCCAACCTTGACTGAATAATATTTTGATTTTTTGTGTACTGCAAATGCGAAGACCTACTTGTGGAATGTTCCTGAAGCAGTACCGTGCACGTTAGACGCCTCATGCTATGCTTGGTTACTCAAGGACTTTGGTTGATTAGTGGTGTTGTGACACGTTATTAATAACGTGTCAATTGTGTGTATATGTCACAAGCTTGTCTTTGTAAGTCAAGTTTCTGTTTTTGCTCTTCACTCTTGGAAATCATACTCGACTGCAATAAGATTCTCGGACGTGCTATGATTTCTATCTTTCTCTAGGTCTCAACTGCTACCGAGTATGCAAGGATCATTCGTTCTCGTCAACACATGTACGAAGGTGAAGGGTCTAGAGGAAGGCTGTCATGTAGGCATTATGCACTCATGCACTCATGCGTCTGTTTCCTGAATAGGTGCCGTTTGGTGGAAACATATTCTTCGCTAGATTGTGATGGATCTTGGGGATTGTGTGCAGAGATGGGCATTGATAAGGAAGCGGCGAGAAGTACAAGCAGCTGCTGCACAGAAAGCTATACCTGGTAGCTCCAGCGGGGGTGCGGCTGACGCTCAACAAGGGGCAAATCAACTGGCAACCTCCACAAGTGGAGCGAAGGTTTCACAGAACGGAGGTACATTTGTTGTCAGCAGTGCCACTCAGTTGGCTTCTCCAGTAACTCCTGGAGCCGCGTTTTCCCCCCTGACACCACCAGTGGCGATCACTGGCCCTACTCCGGGGCCCTCTACTTCAGCTCAACCACAAATTCAAGGACTTCATGTCAGTGGATCTAGTAGTAATTCTCCAGGAAGCATTGTGGTCACCAGTGCACCAAATGGCACACTGGCACCATCCGGTGGTAGCTTAGATGGTGTCTCATATAAGACGGCACCCCAAGTGGCACGTCCTTCTGGTGCACCCACTGTCCGGACTGGCGCAGTCGTCACACAACGGCAGGGCCAGGCAGTGGGTGCTGCACGGAGCACAGCAGGGTCTTCAACAGCTTCCGCAGCTTTGAGTACAGAACAAATTCGGGGTGGAGTTGCCAAAACTGTGGGGAGTGGTGTTGGTGCAGGTCGCCTCATAGCGCCTGGTGCTGTGGTAATGAGTGCCGCTGCAGCGCAGGCGGCTTCCGTGGGGGGAAGTGAGATGTGGCAGGCTAGCAGTCTCCCACCAGCAGCTACTCAAAGCTCAGTGCCAGCGAAGTATGGATCTCGAGGGAATGCGGGGCCCTCAAGTGGCCGGGTCAACATGTTAATGAAGCAGCAGATTACCGGGCCAGATCCAGGGGTTCAAGCCGCAGCTGTGGCAGCAGGTGCAAGGATTGCCCCTGCGTCAGCTGCTGCATCACTTTTGAAGGCTGCTCAGTCAGGCAATGTTGTGCACATTGGGCCCGGGGGGGTTCCCATCACGAAGACAGGGCTTCAAAATCAAGCAGGAATCGGGCATGGTTCGAACGTTGGTTCGCGCGGATCATCTGGTGGTGCTATCGTGCACTACATCCGCACTGGTGCTGGAGCTCCACCTCCAAGCCTTCCAGGAATGATGAGACCAAGTCAGCAACAGAAGAGTCAGCCCGGCAAATCGCCGGGTGTTAACCAAATCAGCAACAGTGCTGCATCGAAACAGCAGTCCAGTCCAGCTCCGTCAAGCGCAACATCGCAGGCTGTTACTCCTCCCTCTCAATCAAAGTAATGCTCCAGGACAGTCTACGTTCTCAAGACACGAAATTTACTTCTTCCTACTCAGTAGATTACAGAACTCATTACACATAATTGTAGATCGATTCCAACATCAATTATTGCTTTGAGCTTGGACGCCGGTTGAACGACTAAAGCCCTCGTATCATACCGTAGGTGTCTGAGAATTTTTTTTTAAATGCATGAGGAAGTGATTAGTAAGCAAACATTGACACAGCTCTTATGTATTGAACCCGTTGTACATAGTGGCGATGGATCACCTTGAAAACTAGCAACTTGTACATTGTCCGTGTCACAATTGATCAGGTGAATTTGAGGCAGAGACGAGTAGGTAGGAAGTTTAGTCCGGCTGTAGTTACGTTTGCACATGAGGGCGTTTTACGTACATTCTCCTCTGCTCACTGACTTTTACAGAGAGTATGGCACATTGGCAGAGTACCTCGGCCTTGATTAAGGAAAGCCCTTCTTTTACATTATTCCTCAAACAACAAATTGTTATTTGTCAAATACCACTGTGTTGTGTTCCTGTGGGGTGAGATATCTGCCTTCTGAGAATGTGAGCACCATGGACACTTGTGGCACTTGCTCAGAAATTTGAACCAATCGCCTCTGTCAGCCAGCATCTGGCAATTCTTGCAATGGAACATGTTTTTCTCCAGAACGGGATATCCTGTCACACAGCAGGCCTCGTTTTCGGCCTGCAAAAGTCAAACACTTAATCAAAAATTGTGGATTCTGGCAACTCTGAGCTGGCGGTGTTACCAATTTCATGACTCTCTTGTATGTCAAGATCTGTTAGATTGTTGAAGGACGTCAGGAAGTAATACTTCAATCCAAATAGGTAAAATGACAATGACTTTATCTAGAGAATAGTATTTTAAATTCCTTTCTTTTGTAACTGTGTTACAGTTTTTATGGCAAAAGGATCACTTCGTAAATTTTCAATGACCATATTTCGTATAACTTTTGTGATCAGACTATGTTAAAGTAGAGTATCTCATTGTTGACAATCGATGGGCAGGATGAGTTTGTTGATCGATACCTTGCACGAGAAACAAGAAAGACTCGCCACGTAAATTTCAGTTTCGCATTGCTCGCAGGTTCTCATCGGTAGCGAAGGATGAACCTGAATAAAAACAGAACACATGCTCAGTTTTAAAAGCAGAATATTGAGATTTCACCCTTCTAACATATTCACACCACGTCTGCTTATTATGCTTCAGATCTTGGTTGCGGCAATGCTTTCACATACCTTCTGATCCATGCTCAGCTGAATCACCCAATCGCGTATCTCTTCAGTCGTGTGCTCTTAAGAGGATAAGGCAAAGAGAGAAAAGCCAATTCAAAACCAGGATTTCAGAATGGTGCGGTCCAACGAGATGAATCATCATCATGTGCTTAGGGACTTATAGCCAAAAATAAGTTCGTAGAAGAAACACATGCAGCGGGCAATCTTATCCATCAACGTGACCTGAACATCTATCTAGTTTCATCCCTCGACAAACCCGCTTGAAATTGAGGTTGCCGCTATTCTTGCCAGTGAATTTGCGAGATGTACTAATATTTTATGCTGGCCGTTTGTATCGCGGAACCGTATGGTTCAGACTAGGCGAGAGAGTTGTTAGTTATGGATTTTAGTCACTCCAATATTAGTTTGGTTCATGATTGTCCTATGATTCTCAATCAGCTCATGTAACCTATTTGTAACCACGCATTCTATAGGAAAACAATGTAAAATACATGGCTCCGCAACGACACTGCTTGCGCAGCCTCTGGTAAGTAATATGACAATGCCGTGCTAAAAGTCTTCTAAATCATTGATGCAAACATCTTGCCTACTACCTTCAAGAGCATGAGTGCGTGGAAGGGGGAATTCTTCAGGTATATCACTGGTTTCGAAGCCCGCGCCATCCATAATCGCAGTGTCTGGTCTATCCGCCTCATCCATGGCTTCCGTTATGTCCAGGTACCGATTCAGAAACATGAACGCCATGTTTTGCCAACCAAGCTGTATTGAGGGCCCGTTCACATGCACGGTTGATGATCAGATGAACCCATTTCGTTGAGCTGAGAGTTTACTTATGGATTACAAACGCAGGACGTGTAACTATCGTCTTAAACACCTCTTTTAGTTCATATTTTACGATGAAAAGCACTTTGGGTGGAGAAGTTCTGATTTTGTACAGTTATCTATTACAGTAACTACAGTGGGAATGCCCACCTATCACAACAAGCTAAGGTCTCGAGGTAACTATTTGAATTATGGTCCTGTAAGTTGGTAGAAATTTGAACGTTTAGAAGAAACTACAGGAAACTAACTTTTCATACCCGCACAAGCTCCGACTTTTGCAAACGAAGTACCTGTTTGCTGGCTATTCCAGCTTCGTAGAAGACCTTGTCTGCTGGCAGGAGGCCTGCATAGCGCAACAGGGATACTTTGAGCTTGGCCTCGATCTCTTTCAAGCCCTGCAACCGTTACTTTGTCATGGGGATATAGTCGTTTTGTAGGTCCACTTACATATACTTTCATACCTCTCACATAGACTATCAACCGAAGGTCAAACTCAGTCCTGCGGGTGCTTGTAGTATTCATCTTGATTATCAGGCAGCAAGGAGGGTTCGAAATGTTGGAGGTGTATTCGGACTCCAAAGTCCTGGTAAATGAATCATGATGAGGCATAAGCGACTAGCCAGTTTATTAACTATCTTGAAAGCTTAAAGGGATTGGTAACATATGTACATATCATACCTGTGACTTGCACGTGTAGCCCACAGTTATGTAATGTGCTACCAAAAGATGCTTGTTTATTTCCTCCAGAACTTTCGTGTTCAGTGAGCACATACAAGTAAAAGCACATCAGTAGTCGAGACGAATAATTGACTTAATTACCGGATGTGGTTTTATCTGTGCTGTGATTCGATGTGAAAAGTCAAGAACAATGTAGATAAGAGTAAAAAAGGGTTGCAGGCTGGAAAGCTTAGAACTGTACCTGGAGTACAATCCACATCACTGACATGGGAGGATATGTTGACAATTTGGTATAGGATAGTGCGAAGGGTCTGCCTCTCACAGTTCAATTTCCATGTTAGTTGCTCGTTATACGAGTCTAAATCCTAAAAATTTCATATTCATGGATGGAACAGGATTCTAACCACTATGAGAACTTGGTTATACCTGGAAAGACTTTTCTAAGATTGAGCTGTCCTCAGTGCTGTTGAACAGCTTGCGAGCTGCAGCAATGCAGAACTCATAAGAAACTCGGTTGTCTGGCACTCCATATTGGGCAAGAATAGATATGGCTTCACAACACTGCCAGGGGATGAAACTGACCATCAGATTGTTTGTCAAAATGTCTCGCACAGTATAGCTGGTTAAGAGATTTATCATCTAAGGAGTATGTGTGTGATTGGCGTGAAAAATCTGAGAAATACCTTGTGCTGATTGAGACAGTGCCTTGCATGACGCACTGAAAACTCTTTGACAGTACTGGTTCCAAGCAGCGATGCGACGTCATGAGCCTGGCCAACATCAATTAAAAGCTTCGAATAAGACAAAGCGTGACCAGGTAGCAAAATTTTTATGGACGTATTACGATACATAAATCCCTGGGTTGGATTATTGATGTTAGTGCGAATCCAGCGTGATAGAAACTCCACTTTACCTTTCCCCATCTGTCTTGTTTCACATACAGCTCCAGAGCCTCAAGAAAATTTCCAGTTTTAACGAGCTGATCCGCTTCCCCCATTTCCAACAAGTGATTTTTATACAAGTTTTCCACTTCCTGAAAACTTTCCAAGAAATCATCAGTTCGAGTACAAGGCAGTTTTCGTGGCAGCTAATGTGTTTTCGATGTAAAGGCATTTTATACAAGCAAGAGCCGACTTAGGACTCTTTTGAAATTGGACCGCATCTAGCTTTGCGTAACAAAAGTTTGTGATTCAATCGAAGAAACCTCGATACGTTGTCGTCCATCCAATCCACAGGTTAGGACGTCTTCATTTTGGGTCAAGTTTATCCCTTTTAGTTCATCAACGCCCCATAGAATTAATGGAATAAGTAGAAGACAGCGCACCGCAAGTGGATGGAATGTAGTGTAAACTTGACCTGTTGTAATTGTGGATTTGCCGTATTAGCAGTTTTTCTCGCTTTGTCCCATGAACCAGCAATGATGTACATCTCTGCAGCCTTCAAAATGGATGGATTGACGTTCGCATTAAGATATGTATCAAGTTAGCCCTGGTTTAATAATCAACGGTCTACAGCTTTTGCAACGCTACTGTTACAGTGAAGTACATATCCAAGCATACTTATCGATGACGTTCAGTTAACAAAGTTTGAAACTGAAGGTCTAGCCTTTGCCTTCGTTCTTCCAAAACATAGTTATGATCGAGAATCCACTCTCTGGAGGTATTACTGGAATTAACCTCTTTGGCTGCCCCAATTTCCTCGTACAAACTCCCCGCGTCATCAAAACACTTCAAGCTTTTCAACCTCTCCGCCACCACCTCCACCACGTCTCTTGTACGTGCTGGCTCAAACTCTTTCGCTAAGTTTATCGCAACGTCCCACACCTGACATGACATGACACGTTCTGAGTTTACGAGTCTGAAAAGTTTATGTCGAAAACTGGTCGTTTTTTCAAGAGGCAGCATTTGTAAGAGGTTGGTTTTGAAAGTCTCGGAATATACACCCAAGAAATGCCACGCTATACACCCAAGAAATACCACGGTTTAAACTGCGTGGGTGTGTGTTGGATGTATATACACTAAAATCAATATCACCATATAATACTGAACGGAATCAATATATGGTTAAACATAAACAATTCAATTACACAACTCTGTTGTAATTATGAAAATAAAAACGATGAAATTGAATTGAACCCCAAATGTCAAGGTTAACGCTGTGTCTCTGTGATAAATATCCAACGTCATACTACAACTATCTGTCATATATAACTTTCCGTGCCGTATATCTATCACTAATTCTGCATCCCTGCAGATTATTCGCAACTTTTCCTGGTCTAAGTCATTGATTACACTTCTCATTCTGAAATATGCTCTAAAACCATCAAATTTCTAAGATGATTACAAATAGTGACCATACCGACAAGCGCCGATAAGTAGACAATTTGTCAGGATATCCTTTCACGGCTCTATAGGCATTGACACTTTTCTGCTTTCACGAATTATGAACCGATAGTTGAGTTTTCGTATTACGTCATCTTTCCTAGCCCTAAACCTAGTTGAAGAAGTTCATGGAAGATCACAAAAAAGTCACGTAGGCACCTCTCGGAGCTCAATGATGTCAGTCACAAGGGTCTGGTCAACTTGAAGACAAGCATTGATAGCTTCGACATAGTTTTGACTACGTTCCATTGCTCTTGCTCGAGCTAGAACACTCTCCACTGTCTCTGTGCCTCCATTTTTACTGCAGAGGAAGCATATGTGAACTAGATTTCTAAAATCATGGTGGACATGTTAGAGTACTTGGTTTTTTATGTTTATAGTGTCTAAATTTAGAAATTTCAATACTGCTAGGCGTCACCCTCTTTCCTCTATTAGCCTAAGGAAATATTCGCCCCGCTGTTACAGAAGTGCATGCCTAAGTAAGAGTTTAGCTTTACTGAAGGCCTGGACCAGGATTTCAAGAAGAAGTGGTTGTTAATGACATGATGATGACGTTGATGAATGCACACCTTTGCATGTAAGCTGAAAATTCAGCGTGGATTTCAGACACTTTTGATGATACATACTTCTCTGCTACACGTATCGCATCATCCCACAACAGCTTGTCTTTGTACATTTCCACAGCAAGATCCGGTCTTTTCGCCTGTAATCCATGTGATCAAACAGGGCTTCTATAACAAGGACACATTACACGAGGAATGGGACTAACTGCATACAGCATTTATCCCCTTCTCTCTTCAACCTTACTGTACATATATCCAAGACCTTACCAAAAGGTCTACGGTCTTAGGCAGAAGCTAATTACTGCTTTTGAAACTTCTTTCTTTTCAAAAGAATGGGTTGCCGATAGATATGAGTTAATAAAGGGTGTCGAATCGGATATTACCCTGATTAGAAGGGCTTCAGCCTTTACGTAGTCCTTGTTCACTATGAGTTCCTGGGCTTGAGCGACCTGTAAAACGTATTGAACACTACAACTGTCATATGGTTGAATGCTTCTAAATATTTATTTGATTTAATAAACTGCCTTTTTTTTGCTTATGCGTCGTCCGTGAAAGTCAAAGACCCCTTAGTTATTTCGTTGCGAAATGTGGCTTGCTATGGCTGTATAAGATAATATGTTTCGGGTATCATAGTCTACCTGCAAATTATACTGAAATATCTGAAATTCAATGAAAAGAATATATCGATCAATTTTTTTTTTCAAATGCATAAATGCGTATTTTTGAATATCCACTGTTTATATGTGATCCATGTGGATCATTTCAAGATGCTGTCTCTCCTAAGACATGAGGATACGTGGACTGTCTTGCACCCACTATAGCTTGCTCGCACTCAATCTAACTCTCATATAGATTCGGAACGAGGTCATTAATTCTTAGTCTATAAATCCCTCCTCGAACCGAGTTTGAACTTCCTTCAAGTAGATTGCTATCACTACCACATTATCTCAGTAAACTGACGGTTCACAAGTATGAACAGTAATAGAACGAATGTTCATTGGCAAATAAATATGACCAATTGTTTTGCAAAGTAAGCAACAAAATACTCAACATTCAGCTGGACCGTATACTATAATCTTTGGTGACCCATCAATTCCATAGATAACTCGAAGGTATATTAGGAGATAACTAATTTTTTCAATTCCATTTTTTATTCTTCATGTTATAGAGTTAATGTGTTGATTGTTTAAGGAGAGTAATTCACAACAACTTTCTAACAATTCTTCAACTTTATGGGGAATTTTAGCAACTTCGATTTGATTAAACTTGTGATTATAGCTCTATGTATGAACATCAGAAAGCAGTGTAGGTATTTAAATTTGCAGAAAACAATGCTTCTCGTGCTCTCAAAAATCCTTCGTCGATGGAGTAACTGAATGGGAATCTGACCTGTACATCGTACATCGCAGCAGGATCACACAAGTCTGCAACACGCATGGCTGCTGGCCAGTCCAGCTGATGTATATACATGTCAATCGCTTCCCTGGGCTTTCCCACCTTAATGAAGGCTTCCTCAGCTTCTTTGAATCGTCCTTCATCTTCAAGAAACATGGCATACTTCAATTGCACCTGGTAAATTTTTCCCAGCATCAGGCACACTTAAAACGAGGACCCGTGCTAATTATATGATACTGCCCTAACTTGAAATTTACCCGTTGCTCGCCTATGTTCATTTTAAACAGGCCATCTGCGGTCGTTCGAGTACCTTCCACTGATCGTCAAAAGGTCAAGCTTTCAAGGCAAAAAATCCAATCGTGCTCGCTTCAGTACGAACCTCAGGGAGCTTGTACTTTAGCGTAGACCGGCAAAGGTCGAAAGCGTGTTCAAATGCTCCTGCCTCTGTCGCGTATTCTATGGCTTGCTCTACTAATCCCAACCTCACCAATAACTGCGCACCTGCTTCCCCTCCAAGAGATACAGCCCACGCATAGGCAACCTGTAGGAGACATGGAGATGAAAATATATTTTCATTAACGCCACTGACTCTGATCACAAAGCTGGTTACAGCAGATAGATAATTTAGTTACACTTGGGTGTGCTCTATATTAGCATATCGGACAAGTTCATGATCCGCTCACATGTTTTGGTCCGCTGACCCCTCCAAAAAGTTTTGCTACCCGCATGGCGTCTTCCCACATGTTGTTCACGCTGTACATCTGTAATTCAAAACTCCGGGCACTTTAGAAACTAAGAAAAGACATTGAACGCTCTCTTAACTCATGACGTTCAATAAAATTGCAGTTTGACCTCAAGGTTGAGAACTGAGCTGCGTTCTACCTTGACAGTGCTCTTCCAGTCTTGCGCACCAAGATAATGATGTTCTGCTTCTCTAAGAGCTCCTGAAAAAAGAAGAGGACACTGGGAACTGAATCTCCGAAAGATCGGGAACATCGGCCCAAAAGTTGTGTATTGAAGGCAAGGTTGTTAACTTCACTTTGTGTGATCATGAGCACCCTACTTCACACCTTGAAGAGCCAATCACCTTCGCTTTCCAGTTGTTGAGCTAAATGTAAGTGAGTTTCCAACTGCAAGTCCTGAAATTGGATATATGGATCCAGATAATCAAAGTAATCAGGCCAACAAAGTTTGGAGTGGACAGCAATGTTATTATCTTCATACGCGATCAATACAACAATGGAAGACGTTCATGGGCTATAGTAGTAAATCTTTCATTCGGGGAAGCGATGAGTCTCAGAGACATCTTAAAGAAGCTAGGACAAAAACAGGTCACATCTGTATCGCAATCCTCCTTGATGACCTGGTTGTTGCACATACATGGAAAGGACAGTAAAAAGTTCTGAGCCGCTCACAGATCTGTATTTCGCAACAAGTCTCATCATTTGGTCGAACATATGAGCCTTCTTGTACATGTTAATTGCTTGATCTGGCTCTTTGGCGTCCAAAAACAACTTCTCAGCGTCTTTGTAAGATCCAGTTGCCTCCAATTCACGAGCCCGTTGTAAGCAAAGTGCACACACTTCAGCCTCAGACAAGTATCTTGCTGCAACCTAGCAAGAAAATGCTGCGATTTTCTCATTCTGGCAGAGCTCTAAATTTGGAGTGAAAAATCTCAGGTTTACGGAATTACTGGAGTAATAAGGTGATAAAGCCTATCTGGGCGGTGGTAATCAGTACTGGAAGAATTTGTAATAACCTTGTAGCCTGCCTCCCACTTGTTCGCACGAATATACATTTCCACTGCCTCAATGCCAAGGTTTGCCCGAATGTAGAACTTTTCCGCTTCCATGTACTGCTTTGCTGACTCAAAGTGTCTTGCCAGCCGTTTATAAAATGGCTGTGCAACCTGGGCATGGAGTAAGCGGAGCAAGAATCCATTGAGTGACTATGACCATAAGGACTGATTTCAGGCCTGCATGAATCTATGGTCAATTATGGAGCTATCATGAGGTGAGTGCATATCGAGTCAAATCACGCATGAGCACGATGTCTACGATTTATTTAGATGCAGGTGAGAGAGTAACTTTTGAGTTCTGTGCCTCGACAATCTGGACAGCCTTCGTCCACTGACACGATGCAATAGCTGCTTCAATAGCTTTCGTACCACAGCCGGCCTCGATAAAGTGATTGATAGCAGCATCCACCTGCAATATTATATTTAATCATATGGGCAAGAAGATTCTAGGTTCATTTAAATTTGCTTTGGTTATGTTTTAAGGTCACTCCATTATTGTACGAAAACTATAATGTTAGTTTGCACGTAGTTAGTGCAGAGATTATAATGAACTCCTTCTGATGCTGTAGACAAGTTCTTCCAGCAGATATACAAGATAGAATAAAAATGAATCATGCAAAACGACATTAAAGTAAGCAATATCTGTCATGGATTTCAGTCACTGGGACACCAAGTACATACTTAAGGTTTATTGTTTAGTTTAATTCGCTGAGCGTTGGAGCTTACAGTTCTCCAACTGAGTTATATAATTCTAGTTCGTTATTTACAGCTTCATGAGTAGAGAAGGTTTCTATAAGGTTATGCAACGTTTCTCCAGACGACGTCCATTTGGTTATGTTCTCGAATCCGATACAAATCACATCCCACTTCATTTTACCTCATTGGCGCTGTCGCTTGTTCTAGACTATCAATTCGAAGTGTATCTTAAATTCCCCAGGGATACATCACTGAGGAATTAAAGATTCCAGCGCAGTCAGAAGCTCAACATGATCGTTGAGAGTTAATCGGGATACATCACTTGCCTGGTTTTGAGAAACCAACCATGAACCCCATTCTTCTTCCAAGGAGACCACTTCACTTGGGAAAGCACGTCTTGCAAGTTCTATCGCACGACGGTACGCGTGACCTCTTCGATAAGCCTCTTTCGCTCTTTCGTCCTTACCACGTTTCTCCAAGAAATCGCCAGCCTGAATTAACAAAAGTCATACCTACACTTGTATGTGGTATTTCATGCTATATTTTAGCTGTCCAAAATAAGCCGAAATCGAATACTCTGTACATAGTTTTTTCATGTATCCGAGATGCAAAGAACTTTCGACGGTAAAAGATTTAGAGACTTACTTTTTCAAACATCCCACCTTGCAGCAGTGCTGCAGCAATCGACTCTATCACTTCACTCTGCCAAGAAAGAGAATAGAAAGAGTTTTCACTATTAAGATTTTTGTATCGATATGCCATTTGGACATGGATTCATTTTGGCTCTCGATCAATTTAATAACGCGTAAGGGATTAGATGAGGATATCATTTTATGGACTTTGAACTCAATTCATTTTCTTAGTAGGATGGAATTTCACAAACGTCACAAGCAATTTCGAGGTTGTTCTGAATAATTTGAGCGTCATCGTATTTACTGGTATATATAAGTTTGTAGAAGAGGGAGATTGAAGTACTGAAATTCCTTTTACCAACTCATGAGTAGTCTTTTAGGTTCGTACCTGAAAGGGCAAATTCAAGTGATTATTCACACAATCAGCCGCATGCCCTGGGAGACCACCTTTCAGAAACAGAGAAACGGCTCCGAGTATGTCTCCCTGCGATTCTTTGACACGTCCAGCTTCTTCTTCCTGCACTTTAGGAAAGATAATTGTTAATCTACAGATCCACCACAAGTTTTCCACTCCATTTTTCGCATGCATCATACAGATTCTTTGTGAGAAGGCCTGTATGCTTCTAAGAATAACAATTGGGACAGTCAAGGCCGAAGACTTGCCTGACCAGTTTGCAGTAACCATTCAAAATGACTTCTCCTTAAAGAATCGGCGTTAGGGTGACCATGACTCTCGGCAACTGCTATCGCTTCCTTCCATCTGAAAGGGAAAGAGAACTTCACTCCTTATGAAGATAACAAATAACAACAAGAAACCCACTGAATTAAACTAGCATCGTGGTTCACTGTATTACAAACTCAGAAATCCGCTGATCTCGTAATCACATGTTGATATCAAGCTCGAAGTTATGCAAACTCGAGCATGCAATTTTTGAGGGATCAAAGTTTAAGAACCTGTGGCACTCTGTGTACATTTGGATGGTCTCTGCAACATGACCACGTTCCAACAGAAGCATTTCCGCAACCTGAAATCGACAAAAATCGATTATGATCGTTCTTGACACATGAAACAAATTGGACCCTTTGTAGATAGTAACAACTTTCTAGAAATTATGATCCAGAAAGACTTTCTACTCATGAGTTCTACCTGCCCGTTAAGTTTTAGAGCAAATAGCTTCTAGGATAGATACTTGAAAGCCTGGGTCCAAGCTTTCGCTGTTCTATTCTTGGCTAAAACTGTATGACTAAACACGATGTATCACTTAGTATGACGAAGCCAGTACGCCGTAATTTATGTTTATGAACGATTTAAGGATATTTTGAAGTGCTTTTGCATGAGAGCGCTCCAACGTTCCAGCGTTCCAGGGGTAGATTCGCACGAATAAAGGGCCCTTGGAATCCGCAAAGGATACAATTGTCTCCTCTTCCCAGGAATTAAAACAGCAAATTTGCATCCAATGTTTTTGACACCCAACATGAGGAGTACCCGCAAAGATTGACACATTAGGGCTACATCGACAGTTTAGACAAGAGAAACCTTCCATTGATGTTGAAGCAGAGCCAACTTGGATCGCACGAAGTAATGATCCTTTCCGTCAATTCCTGTGTCTGGAATGATAGATTGCATGGTCTTGTTCACCTGCTCAGGTGCCATCACCAATCATGTCAGGTGTTTCACGTCTAGCCTCATGACCCAAACATTAACGAGATCATCAAAGCACAGCTCACTTTCAGGATACGAGACTGATAAGTACTTAATTGATATGTACTCGATGGCTCAGCTTCCTCAACAAGCCATCTAGTTTCTGTTGAAAGGGAGTGGTGATCAACAAGTTGAGAGTAAAATTCTGAACACCTTGTGGATAAAGCGAGCTTTCGCTACATCTCCTAGAGCAGCAGAACATTGCTCCGCAATAGAGAGTTCGCGATTTTGAAATGCTGTATCAGAAAGCTTTCAGCAGAAGACAGGGTGCGAACGTATTAAAAGTAGTGTTCCAAAGTGTTACCTGAGATTCTTGTACGTACGAAGCAGTTTGAAATGGAGAGATGGACGATCTTGCAGGACAATTGAAGTTGGTTCACAAAGCAATCAATTCATAATAAATCAAGCCTGGAGTGTCAAGAAAAGGCTGTGTTCTGCTGCAACTCTCTGATCTGTTGTTTGTGGACACACCTGTTTCCACATAGCTTCTGTCTCAGACGTTAGCTGCAAGGTTTCGAGTATACTTATGGCACGTTCATAATCAAGACTCTCCAATGCTGACCCAAACTCCATAAGTGCTTCATCCAGAACATAGCTAACCTGCAATATCTACAACCTAGCAAATCAGGGGGTTGCAACCCAAATCCAACCACAAATCATTATGGCTCTATCTCAATATTCCACTCTCTCTGGCGTGGCATTAAGTTTCACGCTCGGCCTGCTCTAGGAAAATACAAGTTCAGGATTCCTCATTCTGTCGATAACTTGATACCTCCATCCTAGGACTCATGTTATCGGAACTTACGATGTTCTACCACCCCGGTAAGGAAATCACACAAAGGCTGTTCACTTTGTACGTAGTATCTCTAATCACTGTTCAGATCTAATGTACATCATATTGACATCTGCGATAATCTCCTCGTTCCTTGAATTATGATTCTCTTGCTTTCTTACAATGTTGATGCCTTCATTGACAATTACTTCGGTCCTGCTATCCGATCTTTCGATCCCTTCGACCTCTCCCTGCTCAGATCAAATAGATGTAGAAAAGTCTTAAGGATTTTTTGTTCAACGTGAAGTAAAATTACGATTCCAAACGCATATCCGTAGGCATAATCGTCTAAAAAGAGCTTGGATAGAAACGATTTACTTCCCGCTTTTACAGTCCATCATAGCTTGAAAAACTGTTTTATTTTTTGACAACTCGAGTGCTCTCGTCGAGCATTAGCAAGAGCAGTCGATAGATCAGCCCAAAGAACCTTGATTGGGAAGAATGTAGCTTGTTCCGGGTCTTTAATGCTGTACCAAACGTACAAGCTTCCTTGGTTCTGTATTATGTGCAATGTCGACATGGTCAGCTGTTCGATACGAAAAAAATGAGCTCATATTTAAGGTTTTAATGATTGTTTCATGTGAAGAGAGACTCCGAATTGTAGATTCGGAGTCTCTCTACACTTGATACAATCATTAAAACATTCATGGGGGTTAATTTCTGATAACAAAGCTTCTGACCAAGATTTATCTATCGCCAGCTCGCAGCTGCATTCAGTTGACGGCGTCTTCTTCTTCCTCGAGCTCATGAGAAAATGAATATAAAAAACATGACTCCGTACGAACTTGAAATGACTAATTACTGTTCCAAATCTGACGTGCAGTACTCACTGCATTGTTACCTGAGCCACAACCACATCCCTGCCCGGCACCCACTGCACATAGCTGCAGAAGTTGAGCAAGCATGTCCTCTCCTGCATTGAAAGTAACAATCATCGGAAAGCTGACCTCACGTTCCCGAGCAGCCAGGAACAACACAAATACTCTTTCACACTACCTACTTTAACCGACAACGTGGTTACCTCCTAGGAGGTAACCACGTTGCAACTTGCACTGCGTGGCACCATGGTTTTCCTGACATGCTGCGGACCACGAGGGCAGGTTTTCGGACTTGAAGACATCGTAGGGTTCAACAAGGATCCTGACTTCATGAGGAATGCGGTAGACGTACCTGGTTCAGTATGTTAATGAGATACAGCTGCTGTTTTTTGTCCCGAAACAGCAAGTGTGTTGCAGTTGGATTCAGCTCAAGCCAATCGATCTTTAGGTCGTGGATAAACGTTCCAGCAGTCACTCCTCTGCGAGCATGCGACAGAAAGAAAGAAAGCTTGAATTGCAGTCGAGAAGGGAATGAACGGCATGATTTTTATTTCCGGCCGTGCAGCAGCTGCTGATTTGCGGGTTGAGGTTTGAAGACTCATTATTCTCGTGAATATTTCCTTCCAACATATATATATATATATATATATATATATATATGTTGACTTATAGAAGATAGTTTCAAAGAGAATTCGATGGACTATGATGATAAAAAGCTCGAGCGAAAAATGTGATCCTGTGCAAAATGAGAGCGTCAAATAGCCATCCAGACAGCTAATATATTATCCCTTGTCAATTTAACTATGTCTTAGAGGAGCAAAGATGTCGTGGTAGTTGTGATTCAGAGGGTCTCGCCTCACAAGGTCCAAGATCCTGATGGTCTGGAGATCGAGAAGGTAGGCTATTCGTTTAGTCTCGTCTTGAGAGGATGAGGCGTCGGGGCTGAGCGTCTCGTTGATGCGAATGCTGATCAGGTACGGACTGAGATGCTCCGTGCGACAAGTTCCCAGAAACTCATTGCAACCGTACTCCACGAGCGAAAGCTCTCCTGCATTGTGAACCATGCAAACCGAAGGATGGTCGAGCAAAAACTTTTCGTTTCCACTGCCACACCACGGAACCTGCAGCCGGCCCCATGCATGCCGAGGATCATGGTGACAGAGATTCCCATTCATAGAAACAACCAAGCAGAGATCTAGAGCCAAATGCAGTGCGGTTCGTCGGACAGCAATCAAAGCACCTCAGAGAGCTTGCAGCTTTCCAAATTGCCCATCAACAATGTTTTGGGAGTGTGCGCTATAAGATACTGTCAATCACCGACACACAACGAGCGGATTAGGAAATACTATCGCTTCTGAAGGCAGCTGTCGGAAGAAGCTCTTGGACAACGATTTCAATTACAATGGTTTATAAAGTATGAAGAAGAAGTACATCTTAGTGGCCTGCTGCGTATGCACAGGCGACTCAAGAGTAGGGGAGAGTGGAGAAGGGGGAGGGGCGCTAAGCCCAATCCCATTCTAGACCAAAGGCAGCCGCATCTGTCGATACGACGGACGGTGCGTGCTTTGGTCATCGGCAGCACCTGGTCATGGTAGACGTTGATTTGTGTGATTTCTTCCCCATGATGCGAACGAAGCACGGTTCGATTGCCGGTCGAAAGACGTCTGACGATAACCTGGACCCGCACACGCACACAGAGCGCATCCAAATGAGCAAAATCTGGAGGGACAAACTCCACAAAGGGTTCAGATTGCGTTGACAACGTTTGCATTTTAGATATTTGATCAGAGACGCGAGCACACTGAACACTGAACGGATCGAGTGGTAACGAGCATGGCACTGAAGAACTGAAGGCAGTCATCATCATGATTGAAGTTGTGGCAGCACCTGACTTCTTGTAATGTACGTGAATTCGAACTTTCCCTGGTACCGATATTGTCGCAAGCAGGCGTCGTAAATGTCCACGTTGCCGCATAAACCCCCGATCACGAACTGGCTGCTGGCAGGCTACGAGTCAGGACTCGAAGTTTCTCGGAGCACATGTGGGTGAGGCAGACAGCCAGGCAGGCAGGCAATTGCGTGAGTGAATGAAAGAGAAACGCTGCACGGGTAATACTTTTCCCTCTGACAGCGTCGGTGCAGGGGTAGGATGTGCATAACCCGACCTGCCATCCGGCTTCCATTCCATGGCGGAGATGCTGTAAAGATTCTCAACGTGTATGTCTCCCAAGCCCTCCCACGAGCCCGGCTGCGCCGATTCACTGCATATTCAGTCGGTACACGTCTTAGCCAAAGCCAATCCCCAGAAACATGATTCTCCGGAACATAGCACTGAGCGTTGGGAGAGAATCTCTGATTCTTCTGGAACAAGAGAGCACCAGACGAAGGAGGAAATTTGGACCAGTTTATAGATTACCGATCGATGCACTGGATAAACCTGAATATGTGAAATCCGTCGTAGGATCCAAACACAACGGTGTCGCCTCCCGGATTGAAACGCGCCAGGACAAATTCATGCGTGTTCTGCTCTTGCACAAAGCAGCATGTGAAAATTGTTGCCAGGCTGGCCGGAAGATGACATTTCTTGTACGTACTGTGTCCAAGGAGGTAGAATGTAGTAATCTACTGTCGCAGTCTTCTTTACGTATACGTCTGCTTGTTCGTCCAACCATGTGCAGTATGTGGTTATGAACTATCGTAAAACATTCTCCAGTAGAGCAAATTGAATGGTAGCTCTCCATGCACTGATGACGGCACGGGCCAGTTGGGTTAGACCAGTGAAAGGCATAAGGCCCATGGTAATCATGGATGCCAATGGGCCCGTGGAGCAGCACCGCATCGAGAGGAGGAGACTCTGAGGCTGACCTGATCATTGCTATAGTCAAACTTTTGCAGGATGTCTCCATTCGTGCTGTAGAAAATGACCTGCACGCACACGCGTGCTTGAAAAATGCGTCCGGTGATTGAAAAATGCTTCACGACACAAGATGTCCAAGGCAGAAATCCAGAAGGCATGGCAGATGAGACGCAGCAGCTCATCTGCATAAGCGTTAGAACAGGTGTACAGGTCGAGAATTTGTTCGCTATCTATCGGATCCTAACCTTCATCTGCGCCAGCCATGGACTCAGTGAGAAATACTTAAACTCCAGTCGATTCCCCAGTAGCCCTATTAGGTGAAAATTTAGCAGCATGAGATTTGCTTGCCGTATTTGTGGATGCCCTCAGGGCAAGCTGTGGCTACCTCAGATGCTTGTGTGTGAGCTCACCGTAGTTGTTCTAAAGTCTGGGGCAGGTCCATTCAATTTGGTACAATCCGAGGCATGGTATCGCAAAAAGGTTGAATATGCACCTTGCAGTCTGGCCCTGCTGCAACCACGCTCTTACCCCACGCTAATACCGTCGGTATGTCCCCTACAAGGGCACAGTGCAAAGCTTAGTTTGCTCGTAAGACTTAGTAAGGTTTAAGATCTGAAGTTCCTATGTTCATCTTCATATAGTCTATTCTTTTAATTCCAGGTCATTCACCAGAATTTTCAGAAACTAGATCAGGTGCACAAGTCTCCTTTCGTGGTTAGCTCCAAATGAACTTCACGGAGCTTCTATCAACTTTACCCTTCTGCCATGCATCTGTTTCGCACAACAAGTATTTGACGAAGTATTATGTACAGTATTATGTTCCATTCGCAGAAGCTCGTTTGGGCATGATTCATCCCCGCTATGATTGAGTTCATCTAATTGTTCATTTTGACGACTCCATTGCAGTATAATAAGTTCTAAATTTGAATCGACATCGAACCTAAGTTCAAATCCTCAGATGATCTCGAATTTTTGTTTGTTCTCAGAGCTTTATACTGCGGAGATTATCCTCTCAAGCAAGCGAGCCAGCTTTTGTGCTCCAACCGCGAACTATATGATCCAAACCTTTCTCTGAGTGGAAGAATATTTAAGAATCTTTAGAAGCATTTGTAATGAAAGGAAGAATTTTCCTATAAACAAAAAATGGATATGGTTTCAAACTATAACCTACATATCAAGCTCTTCGGCATATATGTGAAAACATGTAAATCGTCTCTTCGTTTATATAAGTACAATTGTCACCCTTAATTTGCTCCCAGAAGGAAAAGAGTAAAACACAAAATAATCGTCAGGCCAGACATGACCGTAGATACGTGCATTTCGTGAGAATATCGTTAGTCATTAGTACTTGCTTTCATACCCTATAGACAATGACCTCCACGCCGTGGATTAGTATAGGCTGTTGGAAAACTTATGAGTGCCATAGAAGTGAATCTAAAAAGACTTCAACTTGAGAGTGGACTGGTCATAAATTTGTTCCCCTACTGACAAAATTAGTTCCTTAACCCGTTTTACTTGCTGTGTTTTGTCTATCTTAATTTTCTTTCTCACAGCGTTGGCCCCTGCAATAACCTTTAACAGAACACTTAACAGACTCACCAACATCGATGCCAAAGTTTAGACAGAGCTGTAGTTGATCAGAAAATCTACCTTAACACTCAATCGTCCCAGTTGCGGATTGGTTTCCTTACTGGCGAATTTAGAGATAGGAGAGAGGATGACCCGAAACGCAACTTGATGTTTTGGCGCTTCTTAAACAGAGAACACCCTGAAAATATTGCTTAAACCTCACGGACTCCAGGTTCAGCGTGGACTCTAGGAACACATCTGTTCGTTGTTTGCTTTCTCACTCAACTGGAGTGTTTAAGTCGCCGGTCCATGTTCTAAATATACAAGCTACTCGGAAATGAAGTAAACTTCTGTGGTTGTCCACAGAAAGAAAAGAAGGCTTAATGCCATAGTGACGAACATAAAATCATCAAAACAAATATAGGTTTGGGATTAGTGCACGCTTAAATTTTCACCAGAATACACCGACAGTATTCAATCATATACTTCACACGTCGTTTCCATCTGCTTGTAAGATCCTTCTTTTATTAATCATGCAAAGGAAGAAATGTCGTTGGTGTAATGTAGAACGTTGAAGTTGGCTGTAAGTGAAGATTACTGAACACATAATATCGTACCAAAATTTGCAAATTTGACAGCGGAGATACTTGTTGCTCCATTCTCCGTTGTTAACCTTCACACGATTGATACACAATTTATGGAACTGCAAATATGATTCCTTTCGACCATGAGTAGACATCATACTACAACTGCAAGACTACTGCGACACATGAGACTTTCATTGTTGACCTCTGCTAGCTTCGATTAATAGAAGGAATTATTAGTTGTCATTGAGAGATGTCAGATTTCAGGAACCAGATTATGACACATATGACGTACAGCCTACCTGTAGATCGAACCATCGAGGTGGCCAGCAAGACAGGTGGATCCATCGGGGCTACTGGCAAGGCTGACGACAGCACTACCTGTTCCATGGGCATATGCTGTGGCTGTTCGATTTGAGCGGAGCTGCCCGACCTGATTTCAACCAACTATCCACATGGAGCTTAGGCAGAATACAGTCTTTAACTAGTAGTCCATTTTCCTCTTTGCACACAAGGATCCAATGAGGCCGTTGCTCCCAGAGCGTGGTTGCAAGTTTAGTACAATACCTTCACCTTCCCATCAGTGAGGCCAAACCATATTTCGTGCTGATGGACACACGGCCACAAGATACTGGTGATGGAAACCATTTGCTGGAGCTTGTTGCATATGGTTTTCTTATCACCCCACTCTAAACTGCAGAGGATTTATATCCAAAGGGTTATGAAACTCACAAGTCAGGTCTGTTTCTTTGATTATGGCAGATATGAGTTTCGGAAAGGCACTGCAATAGAGCAGCCTGCAGAGAAAGTCCTACTTAAAGTGCAACAGTGAAGTTATCACAGATTGGGTTGCATGGTAGGCTGAATAGGCACCCAAGCTTGTAGACGTAAATGATTTCATCACTCTGAGCGATCGCCAGTCTTGTGCTGTCAGGGGAGAACACCATGCCCGTGACCGTATAGAATCTGGACCCCTGAAAAGCACATCGGGCATAAATTTGTTCAAATATGATCGTGGAAGAAAGAAGTAGCGCGCTGGCCGCGTGATTGACAGATTACTGAATCAAGCTCAACTGCAGACATCGTCTCACTCTGACCTTGGGATCAGCTGGCTTGGTGGAAAACTTGTCCTTGAGGTCTCCATTCTCGTCAAAAAGGCTCACGATCCGACTCAAAGTGACCGCAGCCAATCTTCGACTGACAAGCCGCAGCAGAAAACTGGTCAAGCGAAGATCAAATGACGCTGAACTATTTGCTTACTGCTCACAGACTCTCGCATCCAGATTACGCAAGTGCGTACGGTTGCCACTTCCGCCGATGGGCGTGGGAATCAGGAACGCGCAAGATTCAAGTGCAAGGCCAACAACTGCCGGAGCATCAAGTGGACACATGGACACACGCCACCCGAGCGTTACGTTGCGTTGGGGTTGGAATTCAAATGAGTCCGACGTGTGGGAGGAGGTGAGGTACCAGTTCGGAGACCAGGCGAGCGCGGTGACTTTGGCGACGCTCGTGGAGGGCGGGAGCACGGACGTCGCGTATCGGAGCTGCATGGTCGATTGTCCCCGCGCGGCCAAGAAATTCGACCCTGCGCAACGCTCGCGTCAAGAACCGCGCTCTCGACAGATCCAGAGGAGAGGAGAGGAGGCAGTCCGCGGGGCGAGATGATGGACACGTGGCCCTTCCTTCCTCTCCGTCTGATGCTTCGGCGGTTGTGAACTTGGTGAACAGCACCGTGCAGTCCATGCATTTGATCAATTCTGGCCGGGGTCCTCCTCTTCTAAACAATCATGCCTGCTACTCTCTGAAAGTAAATGATGGTGCTCACATGTAGAACTGAGCATCTCCCTCGACTGGCTTTTCACCAATATATTCTTTCCCTACGGAATAGTTCTGTACCAGACTTGTCAGAGGATTGTTGCTTTGGTAAGGCGCGACGTTACCACTGCAACTGAAATTTGGATCATGTCAAATCAGTAACGATACTGAGTTCTGTAAGTTCATTAACGGTGAGCACTGTATAGGATGCGATTGGAAATGTTTCTCATAGCCCACGTGTAGGTACGGCAGACTGGTGTCGAGCTATGGGTGCATCAAAGGATTGACCTCTTGATTTGGTGATACACCTGAGGTACATCCTAACCAAGTGCTGTAACAGAGTTCAAAATATCGAAACCCACTATACACTTGAAACCACTTGCAGACTTCGTATGTCAAGAAGGTCCTCCTCTGTTCCTTATCGTGCTGTATTTCCTCCATGGAATGGTGACGGAAATACCGCACGAACATGGTCGATATCCTGGCAGCCCTTCACTATTCCTAGAGCAGAGGACCACCAGGATATTGACATTGCCGGCAGCCACAATTCTAGATACTTCTTTATCTATCAACTCACATACTAAGTAATAAATAGATATACATCTCACAAATGGTTAGTATTGAGCTTGGGAACAGAGAACAGAATGACGACCAGGGAAAAACATAGAAGCGTCGGTGTTCGACAGTCATTAGGCAAACACATGTCGCTACAAAGAGTTAAACACTACACGCCCAATGTCATGTCACTTGCTTGCTGAATGATTAAAGACCTCAATCGACTTCTTCGAGGACTTCTTCGACTAGTCATGCTTTAAGAATTTAATCAAGTTCACAACAACATACATTTCACATTTTGTAAAGCATCACCCTACATCGAGGCCACGCGGCGTGTGCATCAAGCGTACCCTTGCCCTTCGACAAACTTCGAGAGACCGAAATTATCTGCCTGGATCATTTCCAACCTTCCTACACTAATAATAGCACCTTCTGTACGGAAGAGCAAAATGGCACACTACGAGATTTGTACAGTTCCAGCAGAATTTGTTCCGGTTTCTACCTCATTGAATCCCTCCGCGTTATGTCTAACTACATTTGCCTCTTCGACCTCTACCAGACCTTCTTTCATGGCGGACACCTCGTCAACAGATGCCACAGCATCCACTCCTGCCTCTATGAGCATCTCTACCGCAGTTCCAGGTAATACTACCCTTTCTACGGATACTTCTTCCATTGCCTTCTCAGCATTTAATGGGCTTCTTTCCACTGATTCCTTTTCAATGCCCTGCATATCTTCTGCTTCATCAAAAGAGGAATCCCTTCTCTCTTGAATGGCGTCTTCTTTCGCTGGTGCCTACAATAAGGAACACACAAAACATAAATTCTGTCAGATACATAGGTGCAGACTCGAGCTCTAACCAAATCACAAGTTCCAGCATATAAAAAAGAGCTCAAGCGCAAAAAGCACATCTATAGATGCAAGCTGATACTAAAAACCTAGTCACTGCTGAAGATTATATCATCATGTCCTCTAGCTCTATAGAAACAGTAAAACAAATTAATTCAATCTCCATCATTCTCCATGATTTTCAGTAAAACCTTATCAACTCCTCAACTTCGGTACAAAGTTTTATAAGAATGACCACTCAGGTCACTTCATATTTGCAATCACCTTCTGCTGCAAGTCTTCCACAATTTGTATTTCAGAGTCGGCATCTCTTTCCTCTGTGGCAGCGTCTTCCGTAGCTAACTTAGCTTCCAAAGCTTTGGCAGTTGCCACATCATGGTCATCAATTAGCCGAGTCAAGTTGTCTTGCTCAACTAGCAAATTCTCGTACTGTAATTGAAGCACCCGTTCGCGCTCTACTTGTTGTGTTACTAAGTCTTGCAAGGCTTCAATACGTCGAGGTGCGGCCAACTGCTCCTGCCGATGTAATGCTCTAAAACACTTCAATTCAGTTCCCAAAGTATCTGCCGTCTTGAATGATGCCTCGATAAGCCTTCCGAGGCTTTCAGCTCGTGTCTACAAAGAGATACACATTCATAAAAGGTATCAAACTCAAGACAGCAAACTCTAGGGGCAGAAGACTACAAACAAACCAAATAGTAAAGAAGATGAAACAGATTGGAGTCAAATTATCGTCAGAGAATAATCTCCATTATGGAATCGAGACTGCCATTTCTAAGAGGATGTGCATTTTGAGGTGTACTAATTGACTCCAAGAGCGCGATATGCATAGGTAAATAAATGATAACCAATAAACCATCCCCTTGACTGGCTTTTATATTATGAAGTGTTCAGATTTTGAATTTCAGTAGTTATGATAAATAACTTAAACTATATTGGAGACGTCATATCGTTGCATAGACCAAGATGAAACGTCTGTAAATATGTACGGTCCTGATGATGGTAACGAGTTTCTACAGCCCAAAACATCCAACTGCTACATAACTACCTCAAGCATACTTTTTTTGCATCCTATGACTTCTTTTCTAATTCATTGAAAATAGTCAGTAAAGATTGAAATTGAAATTTAATGAAAATTTCTAATAACTTGATCTAAAAAATTTTGAGGTTCCACCTTCCTAGCCGCTTTCGTGCATCATTCTTACCAATGCAACCATCAGTCTAACAATAAATGTACCGTCAAGTTTCGGACAGTGCACTATCCATGATTGCTACAGTAAACAGAAGGGCTTAGAAGTGCAGAATACTAATCTGAAAGGTTTTCAACACACAAGGTTATGATACTCAGCTCCTTGAAAGATGACTGCGCACAAAGCAAGTTCTAGAATTGAGCAGCCAGAACATTCGAACATACCTGATATCCTTGGGTAAGCACCTTCAGCTTTTGTTCCAGGCGCACTGCCCTCTTCGTCTCTCCTTCCATAAGTTTTCTGATGTTATCTAATTCATATTGCATTGAGGCCAGACGGTCGCCACTACTGGCTACACTGGCCAGACCGTAACTATTACGAGTTGGAAGATAGACCATATCTTCGACACAGGCATCGCGTGCATCTGCATAGTCATCTAGAGTAGCATCCTCGTGACCCATGGCCATCCTCAAAATATCTATTTCTTCCTCTATCAGTTTTGCAGCCTGCGAGAATATAAGGAAGTTCACGTTTCAGTTGAAAAATGGTAAGTTACAAAATCATCTAGTCTAAGATGATAAACGTCATAGAGACCCAGAACAGGGAAAATCTTAACTGATGTTAACAACCACATTGTACGTAGGACGTACGTTGAGTGTCTGTTGTGAGTTGCTCTTGGTTAAAGCAAATAATTTCAGAATCTACATGACGATTCTTCTTGCGGATAGAACTTCATATGAAGCATGTAACTGTATTAAAGAAGACTTCAGAATTGGAAACCAATGAAAGCTATATTCAATTTAATAGTGTGATACTACAAGTTATTCTCATCAACTTGACAGCAAAGAACAAAGGTACCTCGGGCAAAAGAAATATGAAACAGAAAATGGAGAAAATGTGTATTTAAATCCATCTGCGGCAAATATTTTTCTACATAGATTCATGGAGTACCTCCAAAAGATGGTCCTCTTCAAAATCCTCAATCCAAGGTACGGGAGCTTGGGCTCTGCCGTTAACGCCCGTCTTTGTCCCCTTCTTCTTATCCTTGCTGGAAGATTCGTCTTTGACCGCGTATTTTACCGCATCGTGCTCGAGCAGCTCCACCATTTCTCGTCTTATCAGCTCATCAGCTTCGTCTAAATAAGTCACAGCGTTCTCGGTGCTCTGTAAAGAGCTCCTCAAGAGCTCTACGCCACCAAGGGGCGGCCGAGGCAGATCTCTTTGCAGGGCTTTTGACCTCTTCCTTAAAAGTGCTGCTTGCTTCGCTGCTTCATCAGCACGTTGTCTGGCCAAGAGATCTGACATATCCTCCTCCATGTCTCGAACGGGTTCGGCCTCTTCTGGGGGAAGGTCTGGCACAACTATCTGATACTCATTCTTTGGAGCTGGAAGGTCTCCGAGCCCAGCTCTCAAATTTCGCCTCAACTCAGCTTGCCTCATTTTCTCAGCCTTCGCGTTGTCGAAGGGTGTTTCCATACCTTCGTTGATGTGAAGTTCATCTCGAATAGGCGTACCTTTGGGTGTCATGCCATACATGGCAGAGTCCTTCATCGGAGTCATACCAGGAGTGGCACCCATTCCGCCAGAAGGAGTACGCATGGGTGTTGCGATTGGATTGGGCGTTTGAATGTCCTTCTTCTTTGGGTTGACACCGGAGAAATCTGAGGGATGCAACTCAGGATTTTCACCTCCGAACAGCGGTGTCTGTGTCTCCCTAAGACGAGCCAAATTTTCTGCTTCCATCATAATGGCATCTCCTTTGCCTCCCGGGGTTCGTTGGGGTGTTCTCAACGGAGTCATTCCCGGATGAGCTGGTGTTTGATTATAGTTCGCAAGAAGAGCTCTCGTGGCACTAGTTCCTTCTCTGAAATCATCCTCTCCTGTAAGCAAATCACTTGCATACCCCATTTTGGCAATCTCTTCTAGCTCCCGGTCAGAGATCTGAGGGGCAGGAAGCATCAGTTTCGATCGCTTGCGAACAGCTTCTGGATCATTCAACTTGTTCACTTGCATAACCGATGCTGGTGTATCCCGTCTCTGGGCAATCTTATTTCGGGCAACATCCTGTTTCCGCAATTGAGCCTCTATGTCAGCTCGGCGCTTGCCTTCTACTTCCTCAATTGTAGTTGGAAATTGAGGTTCCTCCACTATCCGCTCCTCTTGAGAGACTTCAAAGAATCCCGGTGGTGGCTTTTTCTCAAAAGGAATTTCCGCATTGTAATCGATACCTTTTTGCTTTCTCCTCCTGTGCCTCACGTCTATTCCTGCAGCCTTCAACTCCCTTCTTTTCTGTAAAGAAGCCAACCTTCGTGCCTCTTCAAGCTGCTTCTCTCGGGCTTTCCTCTTCGCTTTCTTCCCCCTCGTATTGGCAAGCCTGGCTCTAGCTTCTGAAAGCATTTCCTGATATTACAAACCATTCGATCAAACCATTGTATATACCCAAGTGTGCACAGATCAAGTGGTTCTGGACGCCCATATTTTTGGAACGAACTGCGCTATGGTTTTTCCACATTAGTCACAAGCGACCATGGAGTTCACAATACTCGTTATGATGGGCACACGCCCATCAAAGCCAAGAATAATTCATACCTTCTCATCCTCGTCCATATCCACTGGATCAGGTCTAGCTGGCTTGGACTCTGGATTAGGGTCGATCTCTCCTGGTCGAAGCTTTCGAGGATCATCCGCAGGTTCATAATTTTCATCCTTCGCACATGCAGCATCCAGTAGCTTTTCATAACGCTCCAAACATTGAGCAGGTGTGCGTCCAACAATGGGTGCAATTGTCCTCCACTGAGTAGGCATCAGCTTCGCCAAATGCAAGAGCTTCTCATCCTCCTCTCTAGTCCACTCGGTCTGCATGAACATCTCAAAACTATCACAAATTTGAACCAGTCGATTCATGTAAATATTAATACAAATGTAAATTTAAAGATCTGTCTGTGCATAGCGCAAGGTGCCCGTGAAGAGGAGGAGAGAGCGGCCACTTTTGTATCCAGTGAGATACTCATTATCTAGAAATCGAACAAGCAAACAATTTAACGGAGAATCTTCCAGTAAGAAAGGAAGTTGTAAAGACCGTCTTATAGACAGCTGAAAAGTAAGATAGGAAATAGGCATAGCTGTGAGTATTGCTTTTCCTGTAGACAGGAATCATGAGGCCGGGTAATTTGAACAACAGAGCTTTGGCACTCAGCATCCTTGGGGGCGATACAAATGCATACTTGTAAAAGTCCGAAATACTCAACCTAATAAATTTGACGAGGAAATCGTATATGTTAGAAAGAGTAATGAACAGAGACTGTACAGCTCAAATGCATATTAAAGGTCACAGGAGGTCACAACCTTTAACATAGGTCAAGTTAAACACGATAAGAGGATTAAAGAGAACGAAATCGAGATTTAAGCCTTTATTTTGACGCTCCATTGCTTAAAGTCCAGGTGTAGGACCCGAGTGCCTCCGAATAGTTCACATGCACTTACAGGCGAGGCCAGTAGGTGACATCTTCAAAGTGAAAATTTTATGTGGTGGGATCTAGCTAAAAAAGTAAGAAAATTTAGGCTATCATGCGGAAAGGAAAGACAATGCTCCCCAATGTAGGAAAAACTCCAAGAAACATGACGTCAGATCCATCTACATGAGTTTCACCGGTTCGATAACCATCCAAGATGAGAAGTAGACTCTTGAGGACAGCTTTGAGGATTGAACTCCACACGAGCAATTAGTCGCTTTCAAAAAAGCTGGAATTGATTTCAGTGATGTTGCTAGGGTTCTAGATTCAATGCCTTCAATACAGTTTACTGGGAGACAGTGCGCGAGGAGAATCAGGTCCCCTCTGACAGTAGTCAGACAGTTGCAAGGCTTGGCAGGCAAGGTTCTCGCTATAAGAGCTTTCTCTGAAACCAGTAACCGACTTTCCCCACAAAGTTCTGAGTGTTCCTCGGATACACAGAAAGATGCCAGAGTACATAAGAAATAGAATGATGACAGCGCAAATACTCGGCCAAATGAAAACAACTCAGGAAGGAAAGATCTGTATTACGAAGTGGCTGTAAGACCTCTGAGCTCGATAACAGCACAAATTCCGCGCTTGAAAGGCAGAAGACAGGATTTAAAAGAAATCGGCGGTTGAGAAATGTGGAACACGAGAAAATTTAGAAAAAAAGACTCGCGCCTTAAAGTCAGCCAACGAAGATTGAAGCACATGAATCAACGGACACATAGATTCAAATTTGTTCCGCTCTAAGCACAAAATAAACTGAAACCGATATTTCGTACCTTCTTGATAGATGGATCCAACCACTCGTACCAGCGGGCCTTGCATTGCTTGGCTGACTTCCGAACCAGGAGCGAAGAAATACGTGCCCACTGATTTTTGCCATATTTCATCACCGCTGCTTTGAGAATCTCATCCTCGGTGTTTTTCCAAACACCTCCCTTTATCATGATCCTCATGATGGCTGGCTTTGCCTACCACGACCGGAGGTCACAAGTGGGAACGACAACACGAAGACGACCTCGCGAACAAATCCTGTCCAACCCAACGAGTCTTCTCTCTAAACTACAAAACTCAGACTCGCTCCGCCTCGGCCTCGGCCCCTGCTCCTACTCCCTCCCTGCCTCCCTTCCTTCCTCCTTCAAACTCCTCTACGACCCACGCAAAGAATTCAAAAATCCAACCCTGCTCGCGAAGTTCCACGACGCTCGCTGCCTCCGCTCCTCCTTCAGCATCCTCCTCCAGAACCTGCCACCATAATCCGCACCTCCTCTCATCCACTACATGTCACTCCTGCCCGCCCCCCACTCCTCCTCTTCGTCGCGCAGCTGCACCGCATTCTCTGGTCGTCGCCCGCATTCCCCACCCAGTCCCCACTTCCTCGAGTCCTCCTCCTCACTTCCCTCCCATGCCCTGCCCTGCCCTGCCCTCCCTCCCTCCCTCCCTCCCTCTCCCCGTCAAGTCCCGCCTTCCTGCCTCTCCCTTCGTCCGTCCTTCTTTCCTCTCGTAGCACGAACAAACCGACCAACGACGAAACTAAAACCCTGTGACCTGAACCCGTCCGCTGCCCTTCGCTCCCGCTCCCGCTCCCGCCCCCGTGCCCGCACCTTCTCGTCTTCTTCGACCAGGGCTGGGATTCGGTTCCCGGTCGCAGCCAGTCAGTCCTCGGAGGGAACGCAGTGATTCTAGTTGTAGAGGGAGACCTAAAATCCTCAACTTCATACCGCGGCAGGGTGAAGGGTGTGGTTAGGCGACGGAGAACGACGGATTACCGCAGGCTGAGTTTAATGGCGCCGCAAATGTAGTTTGTTGACACCGTACACGACTGGGTGTTACGGTACCTGTCAGGTCCCCTCGTCTGCAACTACTTGCCGCGTCGCGGGAGAGTATTGGGGAAAATTTACGTCTTTGACTCTCGGCCAATCCGTCATTTCCACGTCACCATATCCCAGAATGTCCTTTTCCGCCCACTTTCTCGTTGGGCACCAGCGCTTTCCGGCGAGGTTATCGCATCTTCGTTTGCGGCTCTCTTCCCGAACGCTCCTCATGCGAATGGGGCGAGGGGATCCCGGGCCTCTCTCCCGGACGTACCTCCGGACGCTGACTACGAAGAAGCCCAAGTGTCCTTTCGTCACGCATCGCCTAATCCGCTGGCGGACGGAAGCGACATGCGGGAGTCCTGGTGACGTAAACTCGCATGTCCGGCAGCTGCAAACAGGAAGATAGAGGTATATGAAGCAGGGCAGAGTGGGAAGTGAGGGTTTGAAGAGAGGGAGGGGAGGGGAGGGGAGGAAGGAAGGAAGGAAGGAAGCACAACAGGAGAGAAGGCAAGAAGGAGCAGAAGAAGGGGAGGAAGGAAGGAAGCAGATGAGGGGAAAGCCTTAGAAGGTGGAGCAGGGATTACTGCCAAAGCGATTCCGTGCCCAGTTGCTGGCTGGCTGGCAGGAAGGCAGGCAGGCGGGCTGGTTGATTGATTGATTGATTGATTGACTGACTGATTGCTTGATTTATTGTGGTGATGGTGATGATGACTAATCTGCCACCGATGGAAGCCGATGAGAGCAAAGACGCGAAGGAACCAATGAACTAAGAGTAGAATTAGAGTGAGGGAGAAGAGACGCGGATTGAGGAGTTCTAGAGAAGATTGATGCGGAGCAAGTATCAGAATGATACAAACTGGGTCTATCCGATAAGCCGATCGATTCAACTCCGAATTCATTAAGAGGATTTCATTCATGCAGCGGATGTGAAAGCGCATTTTGCTGTGTCTGCGGCTCATAGAATTGGGGAGTAGGGAGGAGTGAAGGCAAGTAGGCCGAGTTTAAGAGGTGGGTCCTGTACTGCTGATGATGATGATCAGGTATTTGAGATCATGATCAGTTTCTTCAGATTGATTGTGTGTTATGCTGGATTTCCCAAGAGCTTGCTCTTTGGTAGTTAGTGCTAGGGACTGGAAGTCACGTTTTTGTCTAATTCAATCAACACTCTTGTTCTACTCGTTGCTTCAGAACTCTTCGGCCGTGGACGAGGTGAAGCCGGACGTCGACTGAAGAAAGCCCTGGCATCAATCAATCTCCGACTGGGCGTTGTTTGTCTATATCTGGGACGGGAGTGTGTTACATTTCCTTCAAACCGTTCTTTCACTTAGTGTGAAATTGCTCTCACACGAAATTGCGCCATTTCTATTTCGGGAGGAAACCATGTCATTTAAGGTAGCCTGGCATTTGGAAAGGGACTTGTCTACCATTGACTTGCGGCAGTTCAGTATGTGAGTAGTAATGGAAAGGGATGGTGCTCGCAAGAAACATCAATTCTAGGGACTGAAACAGACTCAACAAGGCACTTCGAGTGATGTACGTCAGGCGTCCTCTGTTGCAATGAGTGCCCCACATCAAAAGCTCCCGGCCAGGTTCAATTCATTCTTCAAAACCTTCGAAGTTAGAAAGCTCCAGTTTCGGACAAGCAGTTAGACTTGTGGTTTTGTGATAGCATCGCAATGTGGCATATTGATCCTGCTGGTAAGTGAGGCTTGTTACAGGAATCGAATCGCTAAGTCAGTAGTCCTCTTGCCCCGCATTTGTTCCGATAGAATTTCCCAGACTGAAATAGCCGACATGCCAAATCATTCTCAGCTGCTGGGAGGCAAATCCTCGATCTGCACTGGGAGTATGAATTTTCCTCGATATTTCGCTCTACAGGCTTATTAGTACTCGTCATCTTCGTAGTTTTTGAAGTCATCACTGAAACTGCTGCATATGTGGCATCACTCGAGCTCAGTCAAGGATGGCTTTTACATCAAAGTGAGATGTTTGCTTTCTTTTAGAATTCAAGGTATTCTTTGATACCTGAAGTTCGACCGTGTGTTTAATTCCGATATTATTGACATTTTTATCATTTTTCTCCACCTTAAGTGTTGAATTCCTACAGAAATGTGGAAGTCAATGCTGATGAGAGCCACTTATAATTGCTCAAATTGGGGTATTGCTAATATTACATGTGGTCTCCACGACATCACTGATGTAGAAGAATAGTGCTGCTCTTTTTATGCTCCTACATGTAATTTCTTATCTCTCTGTAAGTTGGATCTGGTTTTTCTGTAAAATAAATGCTTGTACTTTTGCTCTCGCTGGAAGTCGCTGACTCAAGTTACTGAATAACAGACCTCATGAGTATGCAAGTGAAATTCGGTTGCTAAAGAATAAGATGCTAGATGTATGGGTATAGTTTCCGACCAGGGATCACTGCAAGCAGTGGATTAAATTGAGACTGAACAACGCGTGGCACCTCATATAACCCATGTACTTTACGGAACCATAAGTGGTCTTTCACGGACTGATTTCTGTACTAAGCGTGTGTCTTGTGCTTTCGTAACCGTAACTCCACGATTGTGTGGCTATGAAAGCTTGAATGTACTCCTCATCCCCTGCTTTGCTCCGTGATTCAAATACCGAAGTTCTTGCCTTAATCATTGGATCCTCCTTGGGTTTATTGTTGTTTTCTGCTTCTTCTTCTGTTGTGTCGGCATATTGCTATGATTTTCATCCCATAATTTGTTGGAACCGGTGACCATGGGTGCCTGGTGTTCAGACTTTCCCGCTGTTCTTTTGTCTCCCTCCGCGGTATGCTGTTGCCGCTGACCGCGTGTTGCTTCAGTCGTTTTTCTTAGAAAGTCAGGATTAGTCTCCATCGCCCCCACAGATTTGTGGAGGCGATGAAGCCGGTGAGGTTGTAGGCTTCGCTCCTCCATCCTCCCTAGATAATTGAGGAACCGAGACAATTTCAATGGAACAACATCTAGGCTCCATTCAACTTGGTTCTAGAACAATCACAAAATGCATACAAGAACAGTCTCTTGTCTCTTTGCCCCCAATTATCTGGCGCTTTTTTTACTCATTTTCGCCAGATGTATCTATTTTCCTACACTGATCAGAAAATACTGCATACTACGGGCAAAGGTCATCTTTTTGTTTTTGGGGTGTGTTAATCTTAACATGCTTGTTACAACTGTGTTCTGTTTCTTTGTCTGAATCACATTGACTACCTTTCCGTCCGTTTTGAAAAGACGCATGTCATGTGTATTCTTACACAAACTCGGTGGGGAAGTTCCTCCACATTTACTGTTTCTTTTTTAAATGCTTGTTGATAATGTGAATCGTGCATGTTGTAAACTAGGATGAAGCAACCTGGATTGAAGAATTACTCCTTTTGCAGTTTTGAGTGGAGGCTGGTACACATGTTGCAAGGACAGATTTTATATTTGAGCTAATGATGAGCAGTCACCGTTTTTACTTACATCTAAAAGTGCATGGACAGGGAGTGATGTTGTCACCCTTATCTCAGGTGAGAGGCATCTTTTGGATTTTATTCTGGAGTAATGCTGATGTCCTAAAGAACAAAATTAGTTCTGGCCCAACGTTTACGTGGCTAATAATTCCTCATTCTTTCTTGCAGCAACATCACTTGTCGTTATTGGGCAACATCAGGAACATGTTTCTTTGGCGATCAATGCAATTTTGCACACAACACTGCTGATAGGGCCACTTCAGGAAGAGCTGGTGGGTACACGTTCACGAGACCATGTGGGTGATGTCCTGAGCACACTCCCTTAACCTTTTGGTCTGCTTTCCATCAAGAAATTGAATCCTTCTGTCTATGAAGACAGGCCCTGCTTCCACTTGTACCCTGTATCTTTTACTGTGTGCACTTCTGGGATTTGGGAATCAGACTCTCAGGTACTTGCCTCAGATTTATGATAGTAGAAGGTCTGCTTCCCCGCCAGCTTGCACTCGTAATGGGCGAAGTGGACATACATTTAGTCTTGCAAATATATATGTTTAGCTCCTGCTGACCCGCAGGCAAGAGAGTCTAACGGTCGTCAGCGTGGTTATTTTTCGCTTTATGTCATGAACTCAAATCCATGGCTTTTGATGCACGTGTTCCTGGATTTGAAACTCTCTGATGGTTTTATAAGGAAAGCTTCTTAAAGCATGCTGTGACAAGGAATATGTATTGAGAGGTTTCTTTATCCTTGTTTTCAGTTCCTAAGCGGGAGAAAGCCTGCAAGGAGTTGCTACTGACTGGTTACTGCAAGGTGAGATTAAATATCTATTCTCGTACGCATTCGTATGATGGATGGAGAATATGGCAATTACCACCAAGTAGAAATGTCTAATTAGAGAATGAATCGAAGTCATTGTGAATTTTCACGAAGCATTTGTTTGTACTATTTGCCTATCGGGGTTTCTGTATCCAGTGAATTCATATTCATGCTGCATGTCCCGAAGAGAGTGCCCGTAGACTCTTTGATGGTAATGCCTGAAGATGCTCAAAGTGTGCAAAGCTCATACTCTTAACGAACACAGTTATGCCGGATATGAACTAAATTGACGAGGCTGGAATATTTTTTCACCACGATTTCCCATTTGGCTTTAGCCGCATTGATGTTCATGCCGATGATCATTAGTACACTTGTATAGTTAACACGGACACTGAGGTTTTAAGCCGACTTTAAAGACATATTACAGTATTTTTCTTAGAATTAAGCTTGTGAAATACTCCAAAACGGTTGGCGCAAAATAGAACGTGATTAGAGAGGAATTTTACTGGTGTCTCCGCTGCTTCTCTTACATTGGTTTATTTGCTTATATGCAAATCCTGTTCTTGAATCAGCTCGCAGTTGTGTTGCGGTTTACCTTTCTTAAGAGTACTTCATTACGGAGCTACCATCACCAGTCCGAAGAGCAGAGTGGATTGAAATACCTACATAACCCAGTTATCTTTGGTCAAATGCAAATTGAGGCACTTGCAGAACTTGCCACTTTTATATCTTGTGAGGGATCGTCTGTATCGGCACCACTATATATGTACCTTAACTTGCAGCTTATTTTTGTCCGTGACCTCATTTGACAGAATGAGAACGATGGGTGTGAGTACAATCACAGCATTCCAGGAGTGACACGCTCAGGGTAAGCATTCTCTTTCCGTAGACGGAATATTCTCTTAATTTTTCCATCTATCAACGATAGACCTAGTCTGTACAAGGCATATCACATCAGTGGGGGATGCTTATGTCATTAGTGCATATTACTTTAAGTGGCTATCTAGTTGTGGGATCTGCCTGAGGTTCACGACATCATGTGTCCAAAATATTTGTTTGCCTGTTATTTCCGTTTGTTCATCACTGCCGTAAATTTTCACGTCTTGTCTCAGTTTTTTCAATCGGAAATATGACTATCAAGATGAGAACATGTACGTATATTTGACGCTGTTCATAAGTTAACGACGTTTTCTCATTACATCGTTTCTCAGGCCCCCCACACCGACCACCACAGGTGCCTCTGGCTCTGCGACATCGTCTACATGGAGTGCATCTACAAGTCGGGCGGCAACTTCATCAGCTCCTGGCACAGTTGGTGATTACTTCCCTCTCTTCGGATGTTGACTTGATGCATATGTGTTTTCTACTGGGCTCTAGCAAGTTTATATGTACTTGGACTGATTGTTATTTTGTTTTGCTATGAAATTCCCTCAGCAGCTGCAGCAATTCGAAACAAAGGTCTGCCGGTCACTGCCCCGGCTTTTGTCCCCGCGGCAGTTGCCGCCGCGCAGAGGGCATCTTTGACTGCGTGGGGTGGGTTAACGCCTGGTGGAGGTAGCCTGTTGACTAATGTTAACCAATCACCGGCCTTTTTTACTTCAACAAGTTTGACTGTTTTAAGTAGTCCGTCTCAAAACGGCACTCTATCGCCAGCCAGTACTGTCGTTGGCAATAATTCGAGCACTTCCACATCTCTCTCCGTTGTTACCAGATCATTGGAAACTGAAGCTAGTGGTTCCTCTGAAGGCCTTCCCTGCCCATCATTTGTGAGTGGCTCACTTCCAGCCAGCTTGAATGCCCAACCTTTTGTACCTAGTGGTTTACATGCAAGCAGTATTGTAAATGGAGTTACATCAGCAAGCGCCGGGACTAGCTCTAGCAGCAGCATTGGTAATGCAAACGCTGCCCCCTATGTTCCTTCTGGGGTTGCTTCAGCCATCGGTGCTCCTCCTTATATACCAAAAGCAAAGCAGCATGTGCTTAGCGGTGTCGTCGGTGCGGGACGTCCCATGCCTGAGCAGTCACATCTTGGACTTGGAGGCATCCCTCAACAGTTGCAATTGCGTCAGCAGTTGTCTCAGCTCCACATGCAACAGCAACAAGCAGCTCACATGCTCGCAGTGGCCGCGCGAAACATGGGGGGGAACGGCATGAGCAGCCCATACATGAATATGGACGTTCCAATGGTTATGCCCCCTTTCAGATTACCAGATGGAGATGATCCTGCCTTGGGAATGACTGCAATGTCACCACCGAATCCTTCATTCGTAATTCCGTTAACGCGCGGCAGTAATGGTAGTGTTCCTGTACTTCCAGCCCCTGAAGCGTTGGCCAGCATGGGTATTGTGGGCGACGGTTCCGGCGGATTGCAAGTTGGAAGCGGTTACCCGTCGCAGATGAGCTATGGTTCAAGCATGCAGTCTCAGTCTTCGGTGAGAGTACAACATATGCATCAGCATATGCAGAAGCTGCAGATGCAACATCATCCACCTCCGTTGCAGTTGTCCGGTCAGAACCATCCGTTTACATTAAGGACAACGCAAAACGTTGATAACCCGAAGCAACAGTACGGAGTCTCTGGAACCGACAAACAGCATCTCAACCTTGCATCCGACTTAGGCACGGCTAATGATGGCAGAAACCCTTCTTCTTCATCAGCAACGACACCTACTCATTTTGCCGGTGATTCCCAGGCCCAAGATCATCTCCCTTCTTTGTCAGGAGAGTTGGATTCTCAACAAACTATTGTTTCTGATTCTTCCTCTGGACACCAGCAGCAGCAGCAGCAGCAGCAACAACAACAACAACAAACACCTCAGCAGCCACTACAGTCACCGGCACAACTTTTGCAGTCTGCCAAACAACGACAGCAGCAGCTTCAACAACAGCAAATGCTTCAACATCAACAACACATGCAACTTATGCAACAGAGGCCACAGCCATCAAACCAAAGACCTATCACTTCACCTGTACAACACCAACAGCGCTTACCATTCAGATCGCCCTCTCCAGTACCGAACGTATCCACGGTAGCAGCTACCACACACGGAGGGGCAACATACTTTCATGGTCCCGGCCAAGGCATAAGTAGCCTGCCACACGTCTCTCAAGGCGGCCCTTTTAGTGGTTCTGCTGGTCGTGTCGAAGGGCGAATCAGGGGGCAGTCCAACGTGGGCATTGTTCCACTTGGCCCACGTTTCATGTCAGATCATCTACGCGAAGAGCTTCGCCGCCGGCATGCTCTTATCCACGCCCAGGTCTGATGTATATGTTTTTGTATCTGTCATCTTAATCGTCGCTTCCTCGGGAGCTCAAGGAATGAAAGATTCGTGTAGTTTGACTTCCATGTCATTTGAAACTTGGTTAGCATTTGTTGTCTCCGAAACAATTGTGATTGCTGCATCAGTAGATTATGCACCTCTGACGGAGTAAAGAACGTGAATGTCTTTTGCAGCTGGATACAGATCAGAACATCATCAATTTGCCAGAAATGGTGCAAAGATTTCATACCCTATATCCATTGGAGGAGGTTAATCGAGACGATGATTCTCCAAGCTGCGCCTTTGGTGTCCGTTCAATGACATTTAAGGGCATATCTTCTTCAGATGGTATTGCTTACGCGATTCGACGAATTGACAGTCGTGAGGTCGGCACATAATCTCACGACATACAAAATTTGATGATTCTGCCGCCTTTTGTCTTTGAAGTTAAATGCTTTTGATGTTCCTACGCAATGTCAACGTGTCTGTAATGTTGTTTTAGTACAAGACGTGGAAGAAACTATTAACTCAAAGTTGGCTGGATATGTATCTGGCGACCTATCCTACTCGATATTCCTGCTCATCAGACTTCCGCATTATTGATATTTCCAATACGTGTCCACAGGTGGTACCAAACCCGGAGTTAGCAGCTTCTGCGGCCGAGGTTGTAGAAAGATGGTCCCCGTTGGCTCGTCATCCTCACATTGTGTCTATTAGAGAGTGTTTTGTAAGTCGAGAGATAGAGGACTCCGCTGCACTTTTCTTTGTACATGATTACTATCCTGGTTCTGTTACTCTAGAAGCAATGCATCTTCATCAAGAACAAGCAGGAGGAGTTGCTCCTATGATGGTTAGTGCACTTCTTCGTCCAGTTTCTTATGTTCTGTTGGTTTGCTCTCTGAGTCGCAGAGCAAGAAGTGTAGGTCTTTGTTTGCTGGAGGTTGAGAGTTTTTATATCAGAAAGGTCCCCAGCAATGTTGAGTTACCTTGTTTATCAGAAGCCATAGTTGTTCTGAAGCTTTCCCAATTACAGAAGGTAGTGGCACCTCTTACTCTCCCTTCTGTACCTCTTAGTTTACTAGATTTTATACATATTGACCTGCAAGAGGTGGAGGCAGTTTATTATGGTGGGTGGCCTTGAGTATTTTTTTATCGTATCAAACCTTTATTCTCTTTTTCAGATAAGCGAAGAGCAGTTGTGGAGCTATATGGTTCAATTGGCTGCGGTTCTTCGAGCAGTTCACTCAGCTGGACTCTTTTTCCGTCCAGGAGGATTGCATCCCTCCAAGGTCATTCTCCCTACAAGAGGTCGTCTACGCGTAAGCAGTGCTGGTATTCTGGATGTCCTGAATGGAGAAGCCACCGATGATCCAAGGGTGTTTCAGGTTTGTTATTAAGTCCAGATGAATTCCCAACCTCTAGGTCTTCCTTTTATTACACTTGTATACGCCTGTCCCTTGCACTTTCTGTTCGTTTCTTTCCACTTACCTATTTTTCCACGTCATTCTGCAATTTTTTACAATTTTTAGAGAATGAAATTTACGCTTGGTTCATCACTCCGCTGATTGCTGACCTTGAGTATACCTAGTAATAATCATCCGGCTTGTGTCGAAAGTGATGACTTGTTTCCTTGCGCAGTGCATGATTCTTTTACTTTTATGTGTGCATCTTTATATGGCAATGACGTGCTCGTTATCCAGTAGCTTCACCATGTCTTATGCCACCTTCGAAGCAGTGGAGAGAAAACTAGAATAGAGGTTATCTTGTACTTGAACTCAAGTCCCACATTAAAGGTTGATGATGACGTTCGTCTTTGAGTCTAGCCTTCGTTTGATAGCTAAGCACCAGGCCACGTTCTTTGCCGGAACGTAGTGTATAAGGTAAAGCTGACTTTCTCTATCTAGCGATTCATTCATACTTGTGGTAGTTTGATTGTCATACACTTGTTTAAAACATCTACAAGTTACGTCTTTTTGCTCTTTGTCTTATCACGCACTCCTTGATGACACCTTTATAGTGCTTCGTATTTTAGCCACATCATGTATCTCGTCCCGATACTGTGTTTCCCTATCAGCCCGTAGCCTTTAATTAATTTGTTTTTTCTCTAATTGATGCAGTAAAATGTCTTGATTGAAAAATAACAGACCTTTTCATGGTGGATCATTGAAACTCCTACATAGTACCCTTCTGTTCACATTAATATTGAGACGCACCTATTGCAACTTGTGCCGAGACATGCGCACACTCCACACTTATATTATACCTCAAAATTTACCTCTCAAAGCATTCCTGTATCCTTTGTGCTTCATTTTTTTGCTTCTTGTAATATTACTTATTGTGTTCAGTTCTTCTGATACACAACTTTAATTTGTCTTCATAAATTACGTGACTGAAACTTGGACGAGGAAACCATTGAAAACGTTGACATTGAAGTAGTTCAACGGCGCGGTGGAAGTAAGCGAGACCATTGTTGCGTTGGTGCTCACCACTTTTCTGTCATATATAGGTTTCTGCATTCTTGTAACTGTCTAGTCCATACCGGACTTATGTTCCTGCAGTTAAGGAATGTTTCTGTGCCTGCAGCTCGTTTTTTGTACTGTTCTTTCTTGACATTACGGCTCTCCAATCTAGTTCTTATACTTAAGTTGGTTCACTCATGTTTCTCCGGAATATCGTTTTTTGTGCTTCTGCTACCATTTCTAAAGGTTGTATTAATCCTTTCCTCTCCTCTCTACGTTTCCTTCCTCTATTTTTGTCCTCATGACATATGTTGCACGTTTATGTACTCTTGCCTCTTTTTGGGTTTATATCTAACCATGTTTTAAGAACTGCTGACTCTAATAATATATCTGGAGGTTTTTTTCAGTACAGAAGCTGAGACGAATCATGTGAATTATTCGCAGTTTACCTTGTTGTTCGAGAAGCTCTAGATTGCAGTCATTAGACGCAGCTTTACCCCCCGAAAGCCTAATACACTTTTCTCTTATGTTTCAGAGAGAAGATCTGGCTGGTTTCGGGCGTCTTATACTTTCATTAGCATGTGGATCCATGCATAATGCCTCTCTCGACTTCATGGCCGCTCACTATTCGGCAGATCTGGTCCATGTGACCAATGCTTTGCTGGCTTCATCTTTGGACAAGTCTGACGGAGTCGGAATTAGTAACATTCGTCAGTTGCATCATGTGTTAACGGAGCGTATGTTTGGAGAGGTACTTTCTGTACAACTTCTGCCATTTAAGGTTTGTACGTTGGTCCCAGTCGTTATTTTGAAGGAGCAGCTGGGTGCTATTGAGTGTAATTGGCATTTATTTTTTGCTTGGTCGAATACAGATTGAACAATTACACCTCCAAAACGACGAGCTGATGTCGGAGATTAGTAAAGAAACAGAGAATGGACGGCTGTTGCGTATCTTAATCAAGCTAGGAATGACAAATGAGCTACCTGAAGATGATATTGAGTCGGGATGGTCGGAGACCGGTGACCGCTACTTGCTGAAGCTTTTCCGTGACTTCGTCTTCCACCAGGTAAGGGTTTCAAATGAGTGTCTAACGACTTCATGCAAGGTAGGACACTCCTTTATTGTCAAAGTGTCCAATTGGAACTACTGTCGAAGACAGTACTTTCAGTAAATTGCTCGTAGCCTAGGAATCGAAATAATGAGAAGTGATTTGACTGTAGTGATGCTTTTCTTGGTGTCTCCTCTATGCAGACAATCAAAGGAAGACGTTCATAGGTAGGCTGAAGGGAGCCTTGTCTTTGAATAAGGGAGTCTACTGAAAGTTTTTGGATTCTTCATATATGCAGACAACCGAAGATGGAAATCCTCTAATTGACTGGGGCCATGTAATCGACTCTCTCAATAAGGTAATTTTCCAAGTTGACGGGCTGCATTAGGTGTGTAGTAGATGCCGGTTGGGAATATTGCTGGGACTTTTATTACACCTACTGCTGGCTCATGTATGTGTGAGCATCTTTCTCAGGATCCTTGTATTTAGGTCGGATTAGCTAAATCTAGAATGAGCTAGTGCATGACTCTTGTCTCTACAAGCAGTTGGATGCAGGGGTACCTGAGAAAATGATATTGTTGAGTCGTGATGAGAGGTCAATGCTATTTGCATCATATGGGGATCTAAAGCGCTGCCTTGAGGGTGCTTATCAAGAACTTGTCAACAGGGTACAGTAGTCTTTGCCTTGATCTTTTCTATGCTTCCTGATGAGCTGCCACTTTTCTGAATCAGAGGTTCAGAGTTGATAACTGAGACGTTCGAGACTTTATTAACCACCCTTCTACTGTAACGTTTCAAATTTTCGAGAAAGAATATTTTCTTTGTAGTTGCTGATCGTAACGAGTGGTGGGGTTATGGAATGGCGTGGTATGCCTGGTATTCAGGGATCAGGAGACAAAGGAAGGTCACCAATGTTAGGAGCGCAATCTCCAATGGTGCACAATCCAAGATTGAAGCAAAGACAAGCAACGTAGAGCTACTCAATTTTGACGTAGAAGGAATTCATATCCTTGTACTAATGACATCTATTCCGCAGTTGGATGTCTGGTGGTAGATAGATATCGCAAAGATTACCTTTGTGTTGCTTACTGAAAGGAAGCTGAAGTTGAATGTCCATCATAGCTGTGGCCCCTCTTCGCAATGTTCAAAGTTAAATCACACTATCCTCTTATATTTTACATGAGGATGGATCAGTGTCATATAATTGGTTTCCCTCTTCTTACTGCAGAGGCATCTGCCTACTTCTAGTCGTGCTTATCAACGCTCAAATAGTCCCTCTTCCCGCATCTCACATGTGTTTGCTTGGCCTTGATCACTCTTCCAGCCTAAAACCACGAGTTCAGCTCATCCATGGCGCGAGGTCTTCGGCTAATAGGATATGGCAGGCAAATACTAATGAGTACAATTCGTTGTCTCTAGCTTCTAGAGCATCCATAGAGTCGAGCTTCTAGAACATTCCTTATACAGTTGGACTGAAACTGATGGTTTGAATCCAGGGTCGCCTAAGTAGCAAATGTGGTAATCCTGTTTGTGGTAACGTGCATTCACCTCCACCTCCACTTTGCACTAGTCTGATTATGTTGCAATAATAGTCGGACTTCGTTCTCGATATCGTGCCTGCTTTGAACATAAGTAAGAAGAAATGACATGGACGGATCCTCCAAACCCGATGTACGGTAAAGTATCATAAGCTAATGGGTATCGAACGCATTGTTAATCATAGTTGCCGTGAGGCAATCATGGAGTACCAACCCCGTTTTCCAGAAAGCGAGAGGAAATGGTAAATGGACGTAAAGTTCTTATGAGTCATTGAAGTAAGGGCCAATTCCGAGATGCCTGGGTATGTAGTTCACCACTACTGTAAACGCTGCAAGAGTACTGCCTGTATTCTAGGCAGGCTGATATTGTGACCTGTTTCAAACCGTAGCACGACTTCTATCGAGTATCTTCTCCCATGTGAATGAATGTTAAGTTGACCTGTTCAAATCCGTAGTGCGACTGCTATCGAGCACTTTCTCCCACATGGATGAATTTTTAAATTTCTTGTTGTAAGGTTTGGTCGTGAGGCTGCCCGAGATACCTGTCATGCTTCTGTATGTGAATGCCTCAGTCGCACGAAGCTGCGCGTTAACGTTTTGGCAGACTTGTACTTGAAGCATCGACCACACACTCCACCGTGTGTCTGCTTGTTGAAAAATTTATAACGCAACTGTTAGCAAGGAAGGAACAAATTGGCGAATATCACATGAACAACGCCAATTGCAGTGAGAATTTTGATTCTACTTCTAAATATATGTTTAAATCTCACTCGACCTGAAGCTTGCAAGACCCTCGCACTACACTTATCCTTCTGAAAAATTTTCCTTGTAACTTCCCATGTTGATATCGTGAACTTCTACGTAACAAAACCATTGTACTAAACACGTATTATTTTTCACGAGGGAACAAACTAACACTTCTACGTGACAAAACCATTATACTAAACACATATTACTTTTCATGAGGGAACAAACTAACACGCACACTGTGGGATTGCACACTAAACATAATATCATTGAGTAATCTCTTTTGCACCTTGTGGGACTCCACACGAAACATTCCAAAAGCCGCTAATTGTTCCGAAATGCAGGAGTGTAGTATCTTCTCGAATATTCGACCTCCATCTAACTGCTGCAAAGGTACGATAATAAAACACATATTTTAGAAAGTATTTAGTGCAATTACTGATCGGAAGTTTAGAATCAAAAAAGTTTGGAAAAACTACCAGAATGAATGCTTCAGAAATGAAATGAAATTTACTCGTGATCAGTTTACTCGTTGACATGGATCAGACTAATCATCTGCATGCAAACCACTATGTTTTAACATTTGTTTGAAACATGTTTCAATTTATATACGCTTGTTTGAGCTTTATTAGTTTATCATAATAATAGGTCCGTGTGATTGCCTTGGTCATCATCATTCAAACAAGATTACTGAGAAAATTAACATTCTTTCTAACAAAAAGTCCAATGATGATATATAGAAAAATCACGTTCTAACGTATATATCAAATTTGAAATATAAATTTAGACGAATATGTCATATAAAACAATGATTCAATTTCATAAGTATTCACAAGATAGATTATAAATCAGTTTATACCGCCTACTTTTTTTAAATCTTGTTCAAATTTGCTACCTTTATCATCACTGTGCTCTACTAATATCAGTGGCTTCAAATTTTCCAAGCCAACTGTTTTTCTTGTGCTTTTTATTTTTCCTTTTGGACCAAGAAGCTGTCATGAATAATAGGGCTTCACATATTGCTTCTTATTTCATACTTCTCATATAGGATCCAACATAATGTACATAATTAATCTACTTAAACATGATATATCACTCCCAATATCAATGGGTTCAAATTTGCAATCATTATGCTTGGAATCAAAATCCGAATTACATCGATGAAGTCGAGATGAATAGATTTATTGAAAACAAACTTGAATTGTAGCACCTCGAATTGACAAGATCCTAAACAGTTGTTATTGAGTAGTGATATTTAAACATTTTTTATAAGGAACAAGAAGTACAAGAGAAAAGACTTAACTCAACCCTAACATAAATTTTAGTAAAATTACATGTTTGGTTGATTGTTTCATGGTGATTATGTGGATGAGTCATGTGTATTTTATTTCCTTACTTCCCTGATAGTTGTTCTTTCATAGGGAAATGAAACTTAGACTTCGGAGATTTGGATTAATGTTTGGATACAATCATGGCTATTCTTGATCTATTTAGTATACAAGGCATTTTCCTTTTTAAAGAAGACTTATGTACAGGTAGAAATTTTACGATACATGAAGATGCTCATATTGTATTGTTTCACAAGTGCTTGTTTCTTTATACATGAATTTTACATTACCTCAGTTTAAATATTTATATATATTGGTTGATAGATCATCTTAATTTTTTCAAATGTAAAACTGTATTTGCTTTGAATACTAAATGGGTTAAAGCAGTGGGAGGTTTAGATGTTTGATTCGAATATTAGGGAAGTGATTTTGGGTTACACTAGATCAAAAAGTCGCAAGTTGTTGTAATGAGCAAATAGGAAGGGATTTAATTTTTTCCACTTCAATGTAATAACGGCTGACAATTGTCTCAATTCGAATAGTGGACAAAGTCTCTGTAAAGGACTGTAGTAGGCTGGCGATACGAATCGGGGCTCAGAGTTGTAGATGGACGTGGTGGGTAATCGAGAGAGTGCACTGCGTTGCAACGACCAACCATGTCCGGGTCTCTGTCTTGCCGTGCACAATGCAGAGGAGCCTCTTTGGCAATCTTGGATCCTCGAGGGAGCTCATGTCTCATCGAGGTTCCCGTCACCGCCTCTGCTTGTTTCAAATGTCGTTCTTCAAAATTACCGACAAATTGGGCGCTGGGGACCTCCAAATTACGTGCGCTCCTGGGTTCTGGGTTTTGTTCAGCGAGTGTCCATGAATTAATCCTCAAGTCTGTCGAGAATTCACTCGTGCCACAGCTTCAGACCCGAGAGGTTATGCACCTGCGACGCTCACACACTCGAATCAGCTGAATTCGTTTCCCATGTGGACCTACAACTACCACCGAGCTGTTGTACGTCTGTGGTGACCGATAGCACTAGCGGAATGGGGCGCCCCGCTCCGAATGTGCTCCTTGTGGAAACGTTCAAACATAGTCGTTCCGGCGAACATGTTGACGAGGTACTGAAGCGAATTCATCTTTTTCATCAAATAGCTGTTTCAAGTCCGTTTGCGGGGGTATTCGCATTTTTTCAGTAGAAAGTAAGGGATGCGTATCCACTTAAATTTTTCTGTGCACCTTTAACCTGATCGATCATATCTGGCGCAAGTATGCAGGACTCGTGCCTGTTGTAAAATGTATCAACCAACTGTCCTATGTACACATGAGAATGAAATGAGAGTTCTGAACTCTGCTCTTACCAGCAGTTGTTAAGAAGGAAAAAAATTTCAACTTGTGTTATCTTTTTTTTCTTGGACTCACGTTATGTCAACTACGTCCATGTTGCATCATCGGGTTTGTGAAAATTTTCTTTAGGTTTGTTCCATCTACATTAAGAAATATTTCAGAATGGTCTGATTTGAGAAAGAGATGCGGGATGACATGAATGACAGGCCTTTCCAAGAAGAATGATATGATCAGATGCCTCGACTCCTGTAAATGGACGAGAGGCTCTTTTTGGCTTAGACATTTTTAATCGAGTAATATGTGTGTCCTCTCATCATGTGCTGATCTTGAGCTTGAGAACGGGATCCTCATGGAACTTCAATTTCTTTACTACATCGTGTTTGGCAGGTACGCTTTCATGAACCAGTGGTTATTTCTGCTGTTGAGATAATGGATCACAACGCAGCTTCTCAATGCAGATCAATCTCTGTTTCCGGGTAAGTGTTCACCTGATAAAATCTTTATATTGCTGCGATGCGGACCTATAGTGGATGGTTTCTTATTTCAGAAAGTTGGAGTTATGTGATGTATGAGGTTTCCAGCCATCATCTCCTATACATCAGAACACTTTGATCAGCGAGCTGCTGGATGCGTTGACAGGGTTGTTCAAGTGGTCTGGTCTATATCTCAGAGTACTGTTCTTCAGCTGTGTGTCTTAATCTCCTTTTAGAGCTCGTCTCTTGATGTGGTGAAATTTTCTTTTGTGTACAGGGTTAGTAGTCCACATACATTTTCGGTGGAAATATTTGTTCGCAGTGGGGGAGACACGCGGTTCAAGCGCTTATGCCATCCTTTCCTCTATTCATCTTCAGCACCACCCCTTCGCGATGTCCAGGTTTGGCTTCTGCTCGTGTTATAATTGGATTGTTGGCAGCATCTGTGATGTCTGCCAACAGCCGAAATTAGGTTACTATTTGGAGTGCCTGCTTTTCCGTTCAAAGTCTTGTTATTCGCAGCTTGCAAATAATAAGAATTGAGACTTTGCGGGGAGGGTTGCAGGTGGCAGTAACAGATCACATTGTTATACGGGGGACTTATGATTCATTGACTATGATATTATACGGCAATTCGTCCATCGATATCGGTCAACTGAGTGGGAATCATGACCTGGAGTCAGCGCTTCCAAGTTCATCGTTGGATGATGCATCATACCGACTTGAGGACCTTCCTGAAGCATTACATCCTCGGAAGGAGAAATTGTGTCCAATAACTTCACTGCAGCATTTGCACCTTGTGTATAATGATCAGGAGCAAATATTGCTAGTCAGGCAGCTTCTACAGCTTTTGGAGCACATTGGAGGAGCATCTACTGATCCTTTAACGATGAACAAGCTCGTGAAAATCCTTGTATCTGCCGTCACGTCGCTTCAAGTCTCAGAGACCAGGTTCAGCGCTTCTCCTAGTTTTACATCGTGGCCATCTTCCGCAAACATGGCAGGTCTTGAAGTTCAAGAAACGATGAAAGTACCTCAAGGTCTCCTGGAAGCCAAGAGGGAGCTTCAGGAATTGCAGGACGAGCTTAAGAATCGGAGAGATGAAAAGCTTTATGAGTTTACGAGAGATGAAGATGAAGTTGCGCATGAAGAGAAAAGTGCAGGAGATGTTAGCAAAAGCGCAGAAGTATCTGATCGGGTTCTCGAATTTATTGTGCACTGGATTCAGGATGGTTTCCAACCCTCAGAGGTGCTGGTTTCTGCTTGATTTCCTGTAAAAGTTCAACGGCTGATTTGTGGTTGTCGGAATAAATAGTGAATCAAAGTCTATCATACTCGGTGATATCAATTTTATTGAATCGAGATGACAGTGAATTGTCCTTGCAATTGTAGTTGTTTGTGGTCCTATATCTCCTCTTCACTTATACTTGTTAGGTTTTAGGAACCACTATAGCCATAGCACTACATCGAATGTTCACAGAAAGCATCTCAAGCAGCTGACAGAAAACCTAAAAAGCTGTTGTGTATCCTCCACCCCCAGACAGTGGAACGTCTGGTCAAGTTATGGAGCTGCTGTGTGCTGCCAATGAGTGCCAGAATTTGTATGTAAATTTGTATGTACAATTTGTAATATTGTAAATAAGCTTGTTTGATGGAAGGGTTTAACAAAGTTACTCTCTGCAGAGCCATCTTCCACTACGTGAAGCCCTGACATTTCTTCGATTGTGATGCGCTGTGTAGGTAAAACGGTTGATTGGAGGTTTGGCTGCAGCCCAGCTCCTTTGCACTGATCCTAAGGAATGCTACAGGTTTGTTGCAGCTGGTGGGATGAGACTAATAACGGATGTACTGCAGCAAGTGTCAGGAAAATTTTCAATTACAACCTTGCTTGCACTGGGAGTTGTAGAGTGTGCATCTCGATGTGCCTTCGGCTGCGAAGCGCTCCTCGGCTGGTGGAGCCCTACCGGATCTAATATATACCAAGGGTGTGGCACAAATTATGAGGTTCTTGTAAATCTGCTTCTGCAACCGCATTTGCACCACGTGGCTCGTTTAGCATCCCGGATACTCAATCGACTCCGAGCTTACGAGCTGACTGCTGTGCTCCAGGTGATTCATCTGTGCTCGTGTCATAGTTTTCTTCTTTTACATACAGTCAAGAAGATCTTCTGACCTCAACTTTGCTATTATTTGGCAGTCTACTGTGGACATTCTTCTGGAAGAACCTCCAAGAGCACAAAGCCGTTCTACCGAAGAGGAGGACGACTTTAAAGTTTTGTCTAGAGCTCTCGGAACTTCTAAGCTACTTCTGGTATGTCCTTGCCTACATCTTGAGACAGACAAAACTCAGACTCTGAACGATGCGTGCCTAAGATTCCAAAACAGATGCGTCATGGAGCTTTGTGGATACTGATTTTCATGTTTATCGTCACAGGAATTACTCAACAACAAAGGTAAAGTGGAGAAAGGTGATTCTGCAGCTCGATTTTCACGCTGGTTAATAGATGTGGAGGATGTCGGAAACTCGTTACCGCCATATGTTGCGTATGGTGCTACTGCTACGGTAACTCCGGTAAACGCAAGGCAGGATATCGATCCGTTCTTGCTGTCTGTGCTGCAGGTAATATCGTGAAGTTGGACAGTGTTGGTTACGTCTTGCTCAGCTCAGGCAGGGTTTGAGTTCCTGCACACTTAATATTAGGATTTGTCGTAATCATAATTTTTGTCATTGCCACGAAGGTTCTGTTTCTGTTGATTAGAACGTGACGTGATTAGGAGTTCAATGAACTTACGTCCATTATCATGCATGCTTAGGAAAGGTTCGGATTTCTTACTATATTCTATTTGAGCAAGTTAATGTTTCTCAGTCTTGTAGCCCAAGAATGTGTGTTGGTGTTCAGAGCTGCTTTTCTAGCTTATACCCGTTCTTTGATTTGTGGAGATTGACTTCTATTCTCTGCATCATCACTCAGCATGAAGATCGCTCTAAAATTTATTCCGGCTTCTTTGACGATTGCAGGAAAGACGATTACTTCCGCTTCTGGCTGCTCTTGTTTCTGCCCCCTGCTTTAGATCATCACAGGGTCGAGCTATGACTATGAGCTTGGAGTTTGTGGGTGTAATCGAAGTCCTATTACTGGCTTTATTAAGCTGCCGATCCGGTTAGTATTCATCCATACTCCGAAAAATGTTGTGATACAATCTTTTACCACGCTTTTCGACAAGGATAACGAGGACTTTCCTTCTTACTTGGTCGTCCTAATGCTCGGTAATTAGAGAGTACATCTGGATACTATTTTCCCTACTTTTTAAACAAAATATAGAGATGAAGACTCTGCCTTTTTTCCCTCAGTTGCCAGACTCGTCTTCTTATTATTGAAAGCGTTGTTGACCGTGATAGGGGTGCTATTTCTTACAAATGACAACGAGGCAGCTGCAGCTTTATTGGATGCTTTTCAGAGGATGCAAGCGGTGCATGAGAAGGATCTTACACCGCTACGTCATTCAGTAGCTCTCACTACTGCCGGTTTTCTTTGCCGGCCTCAAGACATCGCTGCCGTGCTACAGATCTGTTTCTCTGTGGTCGGTCATTTTTTCTGATCGAAAGCCCTTTCCCTTCCAATAGAGCTTTGGCCTTCCCTGTACTTGCTTTACAAGTTCCAGGCTTGCCCTTATACTGCTTCCCACCCAGCTGGCCCAGGTTGCGTTTGCTCCAAAGTGCCTGTCGAGCACTAGGAATAGTAGTAAGCCAGTGGCAGTTGTTGACAGTCTTTATGTGTTGATTCAGATGAGCGCGATGGATCGTTTGTTGAGTCTATCCAATCGTTCTGACGATCCTCTATGGGCTCTTTGGGAGCTTTGTAAGATATCCAGGTTTGTTCACATTATAATTTGTTTCTAGTGTTTGATTTCTTCCTTAATACTTCAACACTTTGCTCAATATTCTTGACTTGATATCTCTTTGATATGTTGCAGACAAGCAATAGGGAAGCAAGCAATTCTGACGATGACTTGGTTTCCGGAGGTACGTATTCCAAGTTTGTTCCTACTTGTAGGGACACCATGTATGAGAGTTGAACGTCATTGGCCTAGATCCTCGGGCTCCATGAGTATTTTTTAATTGTTCCAATGCGCCTTGTCTTGATGCAGGTCATACAATCACTTGTTGGAGCTCTTTCGGGCCCCGATTCAGATCTTGCGTTTGGTAAGCGTCTTATGTACGAGCTTCGACTCTTGGACGAATCTACAAATTTAAATCAGCATGCGAACAGTCTACCTCAATCTGTTTCTAACTGCCTTCTTGATTGTATGTCGTCCAGGAGACACATGGAAACGTCCTGCCGTTCACCTTGTAGCGAAGGTCTTTCAAGTGCTGGTCAGTGATCCAGCCGCTTCAAGTGTTGCTGCGTGGATACCTCATGCTGCCGTTATGCATCGAGCCCTGCTTCCGCACATGGGGCATATGGAATGTACTGATGAGGGAGGGTACTCAGACAAGGATGGGGCTTGTTCTGTCCTTCTAGAGTGGCTTGATTCAGCGTTAGTGTATCAGAAAAAGGGTGCAGTGGGCTTGCTAAAGTATGCCTCTGCTATATCAGCTGGTGGCATTGGAAATCCACAGGCTTCTGCAGGAATCCATGCAGGAGACAGCATGGACATAGACAGTAATACGGGTGATCAAGGTGGAAACATTGACCTTCCCAATGTGGTCATACCTTATCAAGCTAAATGGGGTGGCAATGATACGTCAACTGCAGTTTTGTCGGATACGGCAATTGTACAGCTGACGGTGGCGTTTCGCATACTGGCGCTAGTTTCGTCATATCCGGTAGTGTGTTTACTGACTGAGAAGTTTTTGTTTTACGTGGCTATGCTGTAGTTTTCGAGCAGGGCGAATGTCGGCAGTGTGGCCAGTAAAAAGCTTATCTTCCAAGATCTCGGGTTGTTGCTTCAAGTTGATCTGACCAAAATGTGAGTTGACAGCGATACTGGTTGTTGGTGGTTTGAAGGGAATGGCAGCTGTACTTTATGGAGAAGGAGCCATGGCGGTTGTTCATTCCACCCTGAATCATTGCGCAACTGCATTGACTACAGTTCCAAATGATTACGGTGCCGTTTATCAACCTCCTCATCTCGCATATCAGGCATGGTGAATGTATTCGTCAATTCTCCATTTTGATCTCCCGTAACATGCTCGTGCACTATGTCACATTTTTTGGCGGTGTTTCTTGCTCACAGATGTAATGACAGATGAAGAAGCGGAAGATGATTCTGAGGACCTGTGTAACCATCGAAAGGAGCGCTTTATACTGCGACTTCTACTGCCAACTCTCGCGTTCCTATTGACTATTTGTCGAAGCTTACAGGTATGTAAATTTATTCTGAAACTGGAGAACTACCACCAACCTTACAGTTTCAGATTGTTTATGTTATTACTCCTCTGATTGTCCATGTCATCAACTCCTTCCCTCCAGCACATAGCCCTGTTTTCCGTATTAGTTCTTGGGTGATAATTTGACCCTTCCTCCACTTTTTAGAGCCAAATGGCAGCGTATAGAGTTCATGTACCAAAATGGATGCGATTAGAGAAGATAATTATATCATATGCCACATAACCTGTATCCCCGAATCCTGGGATGTTGTATATACTTTGGGAAATCTGACATACTCCTGGTCGAGTTCGTTGAGGGAGACTCCCAGGACAAGAAAACTGCTCTCGGTAGTTTCTCAATGGCAGATGGAATCATTCTCTTCGAAACTATGGTCGGAAGAGGCAAATACTGGGTACGCACAGAAATTTGTTTGTGAGGAAGCACATCGCAAATCAGATGTCTAAATGGCCGCACTTGGCCTCGAACCAGTCATTTCTAAACACTGTGTCCAAGGTGTTCCTTGCCTGGAGACGCGCCTAATGTTCAATGCGGGTTCTTATTATTCAGTCACAAGACAAGCAAGATGGGGAACCATTTCGTAACTTGCTCCCTCTTGAAAAGTGAGGACGTAATTTTGTACATTATTTGTTGAAATACAGCTCTCTCTTGAAAGGCAGAATTGTTTCAAAAGTTAGCTCTGCTGGTGGAGTTTAAGTTGTTTACGAAATTTCTTTTCCCAGAGTCCAGAGCAGCCACACTTTTGATGATATCTACTGGTATCTTATAATTGTGACATTATGAATCAGCTATGGTCTTCTTGATTGATACCTGGAATCTCTTCAGCAAATTTATCCATGAAGAACATGTCCAACTTTATAGAGATTGTGTTCACTCTCAACTAGTTTATTTTTTCTTTCCTTTTACTTCATCTCCTCCCATCTCCTACACTTCTAGCGATTTCTTCATACTAGCCCCGCTCAGCTATGGCGGTGGGTTTGTAATCTTCAGGCTATTGCACGCACACACCAATGAGTATAGGTCATATGACATGTTCCTGTTGACTGGATTATCCATTCATGAACCTGCCTTATGACTTAACTCGGCCAATACTGCTCGCTTCTGTTATATCTGCTTCTCCATGCATATCGAATTATTGTCATAATATATGTAGTTGCTAGTATTCCACTACCTTGAACTGACCCGGGACGTCTGGGTGTGATCTGGACTCTCGTTTCACATCATGGATTGCAGCAAGCTGCAGTCGTGGACTATCAAAACACGAAGTTAGTTGATATTCTTCTGGCTCTTCATCACTGCATCAGGTTGGTGAAACGAATGTGGAGATGTACCTTTGAGAATGTGATGCAGAGATTCAGCTTTACTTTATGCTTGGTTTGTCGATATATATCTGGAATTATATTGATCATCTGCAGGTCATCAAGGGGGCTTCAGTGCACTAGCATTTCTTTGTTTTTTCTAATCGTAGTCCCGCCGCATGTATTGAGTACTCTTTCTCGATCACGATAAACAATATAGCTGGAACTAAACTAATTAGTCAATTTGCTTGCTCTACAGTGCTAGGTCTGCTACGTATGCATCAGTTCCTCCACACTCCTGGGCCGGGATGACACAGGAGCTTGTTGCGGTTCATCATGTGCTGGCATCGGTTTTAGCTTGTTGGCCTATATATGGATGGACACCAGCTTTACTTCCCCGTCTCCTTGGAGCGAATAATTCCAGTACAGCATCAAGCTCAATCTTGCTACCCATGGAACCTGGGAAAACATGCAGTGTTCTAACCCTACTGGTACATGCACTTTTCTTGTCAAGACAAGTCGCACATTTGGTTGAATAGTTCGTTTGATCATCACAAACGCGCTTTCACCTAATGATGTTTGAATTGTGTTTCAGGCCGATATGTTGCCGCAAGAAAGTCCACAAACTTGCAACACCAAATCTGCTCTTGTTGAAATGTACAGAAGTCTTACTGTTGGGAGTATTTTGGGAGTTCCAAGTGCAGCAGCTATCAGCTGGCACACCCAATCTCCTCATGCGAAAAAGTTACTACGGGCATTGTCTCCTCATATAGATCAAATTGCCGAAATCATCCTACACCACACACCAACGGTACTTGTTTTTTATGACGACTTGTCAATTCAGTTGTACTCCGGTCTTTTGGAGCTGTCTTTACATTCTATCTTTACAAGCCGTAAACGTTGCCATGAGTTTTTTCAGCATGTGCGCCGAGGAGAAACAAGCAGTAGTTAGTAGCTTGATCTACTAGCATCTAAGGTGAACATTGTTCTTCCAGATATGTGGGGTCTTGCAGGGCATGCTAAAGCTCTTTGTCGTACGGCTAGCATGTAAGAACGTGGATCATGCTGCAGTAATTGTTCGACCTTTACTGAATCAAATCCGAGAGCAAAGTTCATCAAGTATTTCTGGAATTGTGAAGGAAAACCAGCAGGTATGCTAAAGTTGTCGGTGACTTCTTGTGACAGTTAGTTGATTCTTGTCTGTTTTATCCTTGTTTAATCGGAAAACCTTGTTCAAACCTATATTAACGCGAGGACAGGACGTTACACCTGAGTGTTTGACGGGTCCGTTCACAGGTCACGGGTGGAAATATTCTTAGATGCTTAACCTTTATTATCTAAACAAGGGTACATGACTCTTACAGGTGGATCGCATAATACAGATGCTGGTAGGGCTGGCGCTTCATCCTGCAACGAAGGTGTGATATCATGTTGTTTTTTCTGGCTTTCATGTTGGGTGTCCTTGTATCAACGAAGATTACCTTGGGTGCTCCATCTAATTAACCCTTTTGTCGAAACTGTCACATGATGACGAACGCTGAAGTTCTTTTACTTCTTTGAACAAATTATTTATAAAAAAGATAGCTTTCTCAATATATGATCTTCTGTGGACAATCATGGCATGCTCTAAGACGTGAAACTTTCTTGCAGCAAGTGTTACTGCGTGAAGGAGCAGTTGAAGTTCTTGTAAATTTCAGCAAAGGTCAAGCCCAAGCATTGACAACAGAGACAGTCCCATTACCAGCAGATGGTGATGCAGCCATCACAGGCTGGTGCCAGTGGACTACGAGGGCTTTAGCAGCTCTATGTGATCCCGACGTTTCCATGAGACCTTTAGACTCTATTGTGAGGTGAGCTTTGAGTGAATCGTGGAACCTCTCCAGTGTATGGATTTATAAGATACATACTTTTTTGAGAGATGACAGATTTGAACCTCATCTTCCTATGTCCTGGACAAGAAAGGCGTCCCATATTGTACTTTCCTTAAGTCTCTGTGTTTCAAGAAATGCGTGGGCTGGAATGCTCACATTACCATGTCATTTCTCCTCTTCAGGGCGTCATTCCATTTCTTACCCGGTGTTTGTTGTTTGTCTACCTCAGGAGGCTCAAGTGCGATTGTCCAAGTTTTACCGATTGTTCAACTGTAGCTTCGTGCCTTCTGACCCTCGTGCAGGTTTGTACCTACGTCAAGACTTGGCTTGCTGATCATGTGCACTCAGAGTATACCATTGTATACCGAATGTTCTACCTTTTGTCCTTTGTATCACTGTCTTATCATATGCATATACTAAGCACAGCCGGATTCAACGAATTTCATTGTTATATACTTGTAGATATTGTAAAGGAGTTTTACATCTCTCATAGTAGCCAGAATGTTTCTAAAGGCCATATAACTCCAACTGTTCGAAACAACGCATGATCTTTGTCTGCAGTTTGCCAACTAAACCGTACCTCCATCTCTTCGCATTAGTTCTTACACAGAATTGTGTTCGTATGGCATAAACATAGGTTCTTCCTCTAGGTAAAGAGCTTGAGTACGTGCTGGAAACTTTTGGGAAACTGGCCAGCCATGTACTGGGCCGAGCTGCGATTGCTTACAGCTTATTGCCTTCACGAGACCAGACGTCGGACCTGGAGGATGGAACTAATGATTCCCGGAAGTTCTCCGTGATCAATAATGATTCTTCACTTTCTTCAGTGTCGGCCTCACCTGACGAGCATTCAACTCCAGTTTTCCTGGACCTTTGGCGACGAATTTCTATTGCCATTGAATCTGATCACGGCGTCGGCTGTGTCCTCACAAATATATTGCGCCACTCGGCCTTATCAGGCATTTTCCTTTCTGCTGCCGGTAAAAGGTAGACAATTCTTTTACCTTTCGATCTTCGATCTCAGACAGATGAGACTCATATCCTTGTTGCTGTCGTTGATCGCATGATGGATTCAAGCTAGTTTGGCTAGAAAGTTATTGTTAAGGGATCCTGGCTAAACTTTTCTTCATGAAGAAGTTTTAGGATACCTTTAATGGTAAATACATCCTCCGAAGTACTGCAGTCGTACTTGGAAGGGACATTGTCAATGTAGGCAATTGGCAGCGCGTCAATTCTTGCTTTCATCTCTACGTCATTGTATGCATCATCCAAGCTGCTGACGTGTAACTTGGTTGCGCAGTGCATGTGGTGTGGGTGCATTGAAAATATTATTCGGCATCGGGTCCGGTCTTTCAACCGAGAGGTCTGGGGATGCGCTTAATCTGAAGCAAATTGAAGATCTTGTTGCTGTCGTTCAGCAACGTGCATCTGACGACTCTCTGAGCAGGCCACCAGAAAAAACAACCTGTCGTTCAACACTGTCCTCTATCCAAGAGGTATTGCAATCAACATCTGTCTACTAAAGTTCCGTATGTGTCATAGACTTGATGCATAGTGTTGGAAATATTGCCTCTGTTCTATCGACTCTGCTGTAATCATGTTCAGAACACCGTTGTCTTACTCGTCTGTCGTATGAGGCTAGTTTCTATTGAAGGACTTCACCACAAGAGATCTACAATTTTCATGTGTTGAATATTTGGTGCCTGAACCTCTCAATGATCAGCTATGGACCTTTCACACGTTGAATTTTTCTTGTCATTCTACATAGATCGTGTGTTGAAAACGTAAGCTTTCCTCATGCAGGCATGTACAGCTCAAATGACTTTGCTTCGCATACTTAAAAAGCCTGAACGTGCATATGACCTCACTTCAAAAGTTCACGAAATTGCGCAACGATATCCTGGACCACAAACTGTGGGAAAAGTATCAACTGGAAGCAAAGTGCCTCACCATATATCTGTACTTCCTGCTCTCATCTCGTTGAAGGAAACTATGGATATGGAGAAGGACTTCCCTTTACCTGATGAGACGTCGACAGGAAAGGATTCTGAACCATCACTCTCTGAATCTAGGGGAAGGCTTGTGTGGGAATGCCCAACTTTCTCACAGGATAGGCCCGTACTGGCAATCAGCTCTTCTAAGAGGAAGACTGTCACAATGATTGAAGTTGGCAGGAAGCGATACCGGATGGATTCTCCTGCCTCCTTCACACCTACAGTCGATGGGACGCCAGCTGGAGGAACGCCCAGTGCAGGGCGTGCTGTACCGGCATCTGCAGCATTAGTACCTGTACTCAGTCGTCGGGACACGTTCAGGCAACGAAAGCCCAACACCAGTAGGCCTCCTTCTATGCATGTGGACGACTATGTTGCGCGCGAAAGGAGCAGTGACATCGTACCCTCGGGGAGCAGTCCAGCTCCTGTCCAGCGATCTACATCTGGAAGTGGAAGACCCCCTTCAATACATGTAGATGAGTTCATGGCGAGGCAGCAAGAACGCCAACAGTTCTCAGCAGCTGGAAACGCCACCAGTGAAGTTCCAGCAAGTGGGAAAGTTCCTCCATCTATAGAGAGTGGCGGAAAGGAAACAGTTGATGCTTCTGGAAAATTGTCGGACGATGGTGGCCAAGGGCTGTCTCAGCAACCAGTATTCGCTCCTAATATCAAAACCGATGACTCGGTCAAGCATGAACTATCAGTAGCAGAAAGTGCCGCAGTTGGCCCCAGTTCTAGTCTAGAGCTGCCAGAGGTTTGCTCAAGTGTTGGAGATATCAAGTTAGAGAAGACTCCTGGTTCAACCAGTTCCATGAGTACCGCAACAAACTCTAATCAAGGCGACAGAACTCCGCAGGTGGCTGACATGATGCTTCTTCAGAGTAAAGTTACTCTACAAGCATCCGTATCACATTCCACTGGTGCAAGTTTATCAACGAGACTAGAGGAAGGTGTGCAAGCTATGGGCACTCCAGGAGATGATATCGTGCGGATCAGCGTCACGAATTCCGGTACTTCCAGTGGGATACAAGGAATGTCTGGCAAGAATCAAAGCATGATGCCTCTACTTGTTAATTTAAGAGGAGCTGATCTGGTTGCAAATTCCAGGGTCTCTTCAGATGAACAGAAGTATGAAGCTCCGCAGTCTGCCCAGCGGCCACCAGAATTTCATCTGAGCTCTGTGTTGCAGATAGATACCAGACAGTCTTCAGTGTTTTCACCAAAGAGGTCAAGTGATGCGTCGAACAGCCTTGAAATCCATGTGGCTTCCGCCATTGAGTATGGCGGAACCGGACAACAAGTCCATCCCCAAGCGCGATCAGCTGATTCTCAGCCTTCGGTTGTGCCATTAACATCCATGAGAGAACCTATAAATTTAGCATCCCTAGTGAGGGACGTAAGGCACTTTCTACCCCCTTCTGTTAGATCTGTGAGGGATTCCGCAACTTCTTCGTCCCATAATGTACTTGAAGGACAGTCCAACAGTCAAAACCCTCCTTCCGCCCCGGTGGCCCAAAGAGGGAACAGTCCTCTAGTCAGTGAAGTTAATAGAGGAATACCCTCAAGAGAACTCAGACTACATCCCTCTGCGCCAGCAACGGATCCAAGACTTAGTTCGTTTAGTGATAGCTCGTCCCAAGCTACGGATCCACGTCCCCGTCCCCCTGATTTGCAGCGAGATAAAAAGAATACCGATTCACCAGGAACGTCTGTACAACAATTGCCTCCACCTTCTATCCCTTGGGCCCAAACAGACGGTGGTCAGCGAAAGGACTCGATCATGTTAGGTCCACAGCCAACCATGTTATCACCAAGGCCCAACCCTCCTGCCTTTAGTCCTCATCAAGTCAATTCTGGTGCACCAAGGGCTCCAACAGAGGTGGCTGGAGTTGGTGTCCCACTACCACAAGGTCCAGGAGCACCTTGGTCCGGCCAATTTCCAAGTGCACGCTTTTTCGAGGACTCAAGTATCTCTTATAACGCTAATGGAAGGTCCTCACAACCGCAACCCCCTCTGCCGGTTGGTCAAAGTCCTGGAATTCATGGGCCCATCCAAGGTATAGGAAATCTTGCATCTCAGATTCCTCCTCAGCACGCTTTAAATCCCGGCAACATCACTATGGAAAATAGACCTGGTTCGAGTATTTCTGGTTCTCAAGTTCCGTCTAATGATCGGAGATATGCCGTACCATTACAAGGTTACACACTCATGTCTCCCCCGCTTCAACCGACAGCGTACATACCACCACCTGTTCCAGCTGGAAGACCAAGTACACCTCAAGTGCCGGTGAACGTTGCCACCCATCAGCAGCTTATGCAATTGCAGCAGCAGCAGAATATCATACAACAACAGATTCAGCAGCAGCAGCAGCAGCAGCAGCAGCAACTTCAGCAGCAACAGTTGCAGTCGCGGCAGCATCCTTTGCAACAGCATGCTCCACCCCAGCTTATGCAACAGCAGATGCAAATGCAAATGGCTGTCCAAGGTCTGGTTCTTCCACCTCCCCCACCACCGCCTCTACCACCACCCCCTCCACAACAACAACAACACCAGCAACAGCAACAGCAACAGCGTCTACAGCTGCAAGAACCTTCATTTTTCCTACAGCAAATGTTGGCTTCTCCTGATGCTATTCAGGTAACGCTGGTCAAGATCAGTTTTCTAATGTGTCCAAAGTGCTTATTCGTAGGCTTATAAATAACATTAGATTGCGCTTCATTTCTGTTTAACGAAGTGCTTTAAGTCTCTCAGGCTCTTCTCAAAGACCAGAACAAACTGCGTGAACTGCTGGAGCAACACCCCAAGTTGATATCTCTACTTCAAGTAAGTACTTACTGCTGAAAATCTCCTATATATTAAAGATCTCCCGGATGTTTCTCGTTGTCTTTTTTATCCTTTCAGTTTGTACCAACGTCATTCACGTTTACTGGATCATTCCGTTTACACTCTACTTTACTTTGCAGGAAAAGATGAGCCAAGCTACTTCTCAGTGAGCGACTGAGGCCAAAAGGGAAAGCGTTCTTCATTGGACGTGTCTCCTTTTTCAGGTACCTTCAGTAAGATCTTACTGATCCATCGCATTTGTGTTGAGTTAATACAAGCTTAAGGTAAGAGATTGAAAACTTGTAGGAATCTTTAGTCAGCAAAGGAACCAGGTACAACGATCAATCTGTTGATGGCAAATGGAAGAAAATCTTTGAGAACTACTGTGACGGAGTCATTATGTAGAGGTGATTTACACTATCACTCTAGTACTGAGCCAGTAAATTTTCCGAAATCAGCAGTGATTGTGATAAAGGATCCTCCATATTTCGGGGCCATCTTCTGTAATTGAGTGTTCAACTTGTCAATCCTAATTTATGTTTTCTTCCCCAACATGAGGCAATAACACTTTGGAAATCAGAATGATAACGTGAATCAACTGTAGATGATGTCTAAATCAATGTCATGAATACTCTTCAAAACTTACTGTAATTTTAACATCATTTCGTAGTGATTCACATTAACACTCTGATTCGTGAAGTGTTGTATTGTTTGTTATTTGCTTTTGCATTTGAAAGTAGAGCCTAGTCCAATTTCGTCACTGAAGACTAAATTGTGACACGCAGGATCGTCTGGATTTCCACTTTTTCTTCCAACTGCATGGAAGTGGACCTCACCCGTCTCAACCAGCTTACTGCAGACTTGAAAGTCCCGAATGGAGATGTCTCTCCGATGCAAGAAAATATGCCCGTCTGAAAGATCCGTTGGGGGTTGGATCGGACCAGTTCCTTCATGTCTACAAAGTGCAGCGTTTTGGCTTTTCTCAATTGGAGTTCAAAAAGTATGATCAACACTGGTGACTGATACAGATGTACAGATGAACGAGTTACTAGCTGCCAGAGGATCGATAGCAGATGGTTTGCAGAATTGCAATCTTTTCCGTTCACCCTTATTGTTATGGCTTTACTTTGCCACATTAGAAAGGGAATCAAAATACTCTGTTACATCAGTAAATGAGCTTCATTTCAGAACTGAAAGGTCCTGAACCTGTGTTATTAAGATTGCCATGATCCGGTCTAGAAGGACAGGTACATCCAGTTGTCCTGAGCCTGCCTGTATATAATTACAAATATTTGTTCTTACAGGAAGCAGGACAGCAAGCGATTAGGTTCTTGTGTATAGAAATCTGTTATTTCTGTGAAGTCGGATGAGTAATGCGCTTCTCGCGGTTGGAATTCTAACTTTGCGACTAACAGACTGACGAAGTCGAGTAAATGAGAGTTTGCGTAGGTCAAGTTGTTATTGACAAAACGATTTGATGCACTTGACTACTGATAGCAATTTTCTCGGATGCCATCAACTGATGCTCCACTCGTAATTATTTTGAATATTCACCGGCAAAGCAACCATCCCTCACATTAGAGTGGCCAACTCTACCAGCGGAGCACGCCAAGGCACTATCATCTAGTACTCCAACCATCTAGTACTCCGACGCCGGCCGCTTGTACATTTGCAAACTTTGATTGGACATTCGGTCCCACGTGGCTGCGGTCATAGCTGCTAGCCGGTGGGGTTTTGGTGCATAATCAGTTCGTTTCGGTTGGCTATACCCAGAACTGCCAAATTGGGACAAGCATGCTAGCTTGTGCTTGTAGCTGGACATGTACTTGATGAATGGAGAGGACTGTGTCCAAAATGTTATGGTTTTCGATCCGTTGGAAATTTGGCGTGAGACCTAAATACGTGATACCCCCTTCTCGAAAGTTCACCGTCTGAGATCTTAGCAATTTGATCAAACCCACATTTGGTGACATCACACATCTTTTCAAGCTCTAGAAATTGATTGAGTCCATGACTTTCTCACCATCTTCACAACCCTCACAAACGGCTTGCGCCGAAGAATTGGTCGGAGTATTTTCCGAGATGTTGGTTGATATGTCAGTGATATGTTATTGTATGTTTCCCATAGCGATGCAATTGGATGGGGCCTTGTCCATCTCCCATCTCTCTCTGTAGTAATACACTCCATCTACGGTAACTGTGTCTCGCTTTTCAATCGTGCTTTCACGATCCCAGTGCCGCAATCTTGTCCAAGACGTTAAGGCCGGGATCCGGTTCGTCACGCGTATCTCAACGGCCAGTTATCTGAACCAGAAATGTTCAATAATAAGATGAACAATAAGTGCAGCCGGGAGTTCCGAGCCGTTTGAGGTGAAAGAGTCAAATAGTCACCATGACTGTTGTGGGCAGCGGTGCCTTCTTGAACAGCGTAGTCAACTTTCTACAATGCCTCCTGTGTTTGCTACTTAATCAACATGTCGAATCGGGAAATTTTTCATTCTACTTGATGAGATTAGGAGTTAGAATATAACCTTCGTTTCGAAAACCCTTCGACTCTTAACGAGTCGATGTTCATTTCGAGACGACAGTCGAAAGTCGAACTCGAAAGTCTTCTACAGATACTAATGAAAATTTTATTTCCGCTAATCCGTTTGAAAACGAATTCATAATTGATTTCAAAAGTTGTGACAATGGGAGTTCCTTCGCGGAAAGAAGGATCAGAATTACCACTAACCCATTGCAAGGTTGAAGTTTTTTGTAATTCTGAAACAATACTGCAGTTTCAATCTCTATACATGAGTAGTTTCTACTACTCTTTGATTTGGTTGTTATGAAATGAGTTTAGAAAGGCTTAATTTTAAGGCATATTAATACAAAGCTTCTATAAGAAAATGATCATATTTTTATATTGAAAACCATTGATGTTAACATGATATTTTAGCCTACTATAACCAACGTCTCCTTGGAAGATTAGCAGCTCAAACTTACATAAATTGTAAAGATGAACATCATGATGAAGCTTTAAAAAATAGAAGTATAAATTAATTTTCAAAAACTTTTGTTCTACTCATATCAATTATCTATACTTGAATAACGCACAAATTTCCAATGTATTGATGGTTATTCCTTTTTGGTTCAGATCTCACAATTTTATTGTTATAGTTTGAAGATTGCCAATAGTTTAAAAACTCTGCAAATACCCCTCTTCCATTCTATTCCATGAGATTGAAGCATCTAGGTTTCACAGCAGTCGGTCACATGCAATATATCATGTAAGAATCTTATCCATGACTCAAAATCTCAGAAACATTCTTGCAAGAGATTCACATTATTGAAAATATAACAAATATGTATTTCATGCAGATAATCCAACCTTCTAAAATCCTCATCTATCAAGTCTTCTTGTATGTTTTCATCTTACATGATTCTTTTATTTCAAATAAACCAGCTTGATCTTCAATCCCTTGAAGTTGTTTATTTTTTATCTTTACATTATTGATACGACTTACATCTGATTGAACTTGAATTTTCTATATTGAAATTTCAACCTTCATCTTTTTAGATTTTTCTCTTTCTATTTTCTCACTTATCTATGGTAAATGGTAAAAGTGCAAAAGTCTTGCCTTTCATGGCTTGTTGCAATGTATTTTACTCTACCATCAATTTTGTTATCATCTTTATCTTAGCTATGATGTCATTTAGAACCTCATCCATATCAATTGATGTACTTTTTTTATATTTTAATATAAAATAAATATGACAACCACCCAACCTCTCAAATATAAAAATCGCAAAAGATGAAAATGATGTTAGAACAAATTTATAATATCGATTCACCATAATTTATCGGCCAAAAAAATTCACATTTTTTTCTATCGGCGTATTGTCGTAATCTTTACATACTTGTTGAAGAAAACCAAAGGGCATGATTAATGATTTAAATTCATCAAATTTCAACTTAAAAAATTAACCTATATAAACTCAAGTTTTGTCTAAGCAACATACTTGTTGAATGAAACCAAAGAGCATGGTTTTATGATTCATGATTTAAATTCATCAAATTTCGACTAAAGAAACTAGATGATATATATCCAAGCTTTCTCTAACTTCCATTGAAAATATAAATAGCGTACTTGATCAATCATAAAATCTGCATTCCAATATGCCAAAATGTATAACCCAAAAAATGATGATTCTCCATAAAACCAAGATGAATGTTAAGAAAGATTGGATAAGATCATTGTGGTATAAAAAATTTATCAGTCATCTCCATATTTGCACAATCATGAGTTTTTTTCTTTTTCTTTTTCTAAATTCAGATAATGACCTCTGTATACTCTCAAGAACCAAGATCCATCATCGTGATTTTTTCTATTCTATGAGCGCTAATCTCTACCCAAACAAAGAAAAAGTTAGTTTTGAAATCATTGTAAAACTAGGTATAAAGTGAGTGATTCATTTAAATGAAACTCTTGGACTCAAGATTTTTTCCATAATTTACTATTGATTGATTGAAGAATTCATAGTATACGTTTTGTTTTCATTTGAGAGCTATAGATGTAAATCTGCAGACAGTGATGGCTTTTAACACGTGTTTTTAAACTACTACTGTGATTATTTTTCTAAAAAAAAGTCATATGTTGTTGATTTTTTAAAAGATCTGTTAAAGGATGTTACTGAAAAATTAATCCTTAATTGGTTCTTTGTAATTATGTTTCTGATGAACTCACTTGTAACTTTCACTGTGTATCAGATGATCTCATGTATTTTGTGTGAGAATTAAGCAATATGTTTAAGTTAGTTGATATTTCGGCAACAGAACTTACTACTAGTAATAGTGAAGGCTGCACACCAAACAAATCATCGATGTTTTTGTCCAGCCCTGGTTTCGAAGAAACAACAACAATTGGCGCGTGCTTCATTCAAACAGGTCATGATCCAACACTTGGTGATGTACTTTGTTTTTCGTACTACTTGTAGTTACTTTTTGTACTAGGCCATGCGTCCACGAGGGCTGAGTGTTGGAAGAGTTGTCGTCTTTTTCAGGACACCGTTCTGAGAATAATCTGGCAAAACTCCCCAAGAGATGCGGTACTCAAATGCCTGAGTTCCATGTGTCCATAAAAACTACATAAAATTTACTTGCATGCAATTCTTTATGTTATACATGATTACTCATCTCTACATTTGAGCCCATTTTTCCTCATTTTATTCTTTCCTTTTTGTCTTATCCCTAAATTACATCACTTCTTATCCCTCGGTATGAGGTTTGAAGATTTCGTTCATTATTCTCGTGCATATTAATTTTCAATATATATATAGGAGATAATATATGCTCTAAAGAGAATTCTTTCCTAATAATGCAAGTGGTTGTGGTTTCAGTTCAGCGATGTATTCTGCCAATTTTGGAATCCCGGAATTTCATAATTCACGACGGAAAAATCGGAGTGTCGATAGGACACGTAGACGGGCCCGACGACGAATGATGAATCAGCGCGAGTGCCACATGCCAAGTCCAGTGGCTCGACCGTTGGGGCGCGGGAAGAGGGTCTGCGGGTACAAGCGTGCTCTGCGATGGGCGCGAGGGGGCGACGAGGAAATCGAGAGCGAGAGCGAGCGAGCGAGCGAAGGAAGCGATCGGAGCCGGCGCCATCGCCAGCACAATGCATCACACCATCGACTGGCTCTTGTGGCGCACGCTGCATCTGCTCTTCGCGCTCTGCTGCTTGGCGTGGAGCGCGGTCTCGGGCGTGGGCCAGTTGGTGCGCGGCGATTTCTCCTCCTCCGCTGCTGCTGATGCTGCTGCTGATTGCGCCGACGGATTCGAAGCTCGGGCTGTGGCGGTGGCGGTGGTGTTCGAGACGCTCGACGGCGTCGTGGACTGGGAAGGCAAAGTGGCGCAGCTCGTTGCTTGGTTGAGCTCCATCAACATCAACATCGCGCACGTGACTCTGTTCGACCCGGCCGGTGTTTTGAAGCGGTCGCGGTGTCGGCTTGAGAAATCGCTGCGAGTCTTGGGCGGCGACGAGCAGCAGCAGGTTTATGGGTACTCGGACGAGCAGACGCATGTCTATGGGCCGCGGGACTCGCGCGAGGATTGCTCTCAGCTGTCGTCGAGTCCCGTCGTCATCGACGCTCATCTTCGCCGGGAATCGTCCGATTTGCGGAAGCGGAAAGATGTAAACCTAAACGGCGAGTCTGTCAGCGACGGGCGATTGTCAAATCGCGGGGTCAAAGCGAACGATGTTAAAGTGGAGCTTTTGTCGTTACAGGATGGGAAACAATCTCTGGTGAGAGCTGCCAGAAATGTGTGCGAGAATGCTTATAAGCTCCACTACGCCAATCGCCATCAGTCAAAGTTGCCGAATTTGACCGAGCAGGATGTGAACGACAGTCTTCAAGTAAGTGGATGCGAAGGACCAGACCCTGATCTTCTCCTTTTATTTGGGAAGACTCGAAGTCTGCACGGATTTCCTCCCTGGAGGCTGCGGCTCACGGAGATAGTGCACATGGGAACTCTCGATGAAATGACTGCAAGCTCGCTCATGGCAGCTTGGAAAGAATTCGCCACCAAAACCCATCGATATGGTAGATGAAGTTGATCGAACATCGCCTTGAGAGCTTTGGTAATTTTTGAACGCCCATCACGTTCGGAGGCCCAACTTTTTGTTCTCGCGCTCGCTCGACTCAGTACCTTGCCAAACTCACAAGCTCTCGTTCTTACTTTTATTATATAGCATTTATATACTTCTACCCACAGAAAGAAGCCGGAGCTGTGAGGGAACCTGCGCAGGAACCAGCGAAAATGGCACTCGAGAATTGCGTGTCCATTTATTTTACATGTCCCATGGCAATAGCACATGATTTATGTCCTGCTGAAGTGTGGACAACTTACCGAGACGAAGGCGACCCGAGTGAGTAGGTCTGTAGGTTGTAGGATAGTTAGGGATAGAACCTCGGTTTGACCTCGACATGAGGTTTACTTCTGGACCCAGACATATGTTGCTAACTCGTAACATGTGGGCGTCACCGATGTGTATATAAAGTCTTGACAGTTCGCCGCGTCAGATCAATTCGAAGGATTGCATTGTCTTATTGTTTGTGCGTCTGGAGTGCGTCTACAGGCGCTTCTCCACTCCTGTCGAGCTAAGCTTTGTCTGTGCTTGTGAGAGTCCCTCCACGGAGGCAAGAGTGGCCGGAAGTCGCAACGAACCACAAGTCTGTCACTTGCTATGGGGTGCGGATGTATCGCACACCGTGCATGGCTTTCAGTGTCACACCATTTCTCGATAGTTGAGTTTAGTGTACTGTCATCGTCCCATTCGTGTACATACTGTCGAGCATTGTGAGAAATTTCATCTGTAAGGCCAAGTCCAAGTTCATGTCGGAAAAGGCTGCCTGTGAGTAGTGATACATGACATTTATGTCCCTCTTCTCTCGCAGTCGTTTGAGTGTGTTATAGCTGTGAACTCAAATGTAGTTGGACCAGACTGCGTTTACCGACTTCAAATAGTACACATTACGGGACCTTTGCCTTCAGCACGACATTGTGAAGATATGTTATCATTTTAGACCCAGCAAACTCCAATGATTTCAGTTTCTTAAAAAGTTGCACATAAGTAGAACCCAATGTGCATCGTACGATAGGTTGGCAACGCGTGACATAGCCTGCAAATAGAGGTGTCCATCATATCAGGTGACATCTACAGCAGCAGCCTGAACAGGAAACAACTCGACCCCTGCTCTAAGCTTATGTCGTTGAGAAGCTAAATTGCCGTGTACCCATTGCTCGTCACTGCTTTCTTATTCGAAGAGTAGCTCATGCCAGGTAGGACATCCCTCGACTTGAACCCATAACTTAAGAGGCATGGGCACGACACGACACGACACGAGAAAAGTGCGTAGACAAATCTTTGTGGTATGCCCGTCACCACAGCCAACTTGAACGATCTCCACTTGGGAGAAATTTCTCAAACATCTCTCTACCCCTCCGATAGACGTCAACAAGAAGATGAAGAATCTCCTAGTCACGACCGCCCAACTCCTGTCTGGAAAACAAGCTGCTGGGGATTTCCAGCAGGTGTGTGCCTGACAACAGAACCAATGCCAGGAGGAGCGAAGCTGTAAACGCAGTTAACTTGAAGCTACATTCTTCTGCTTTATGGTGCAAAAGTACAAAATCAAACTCGTTCTCAGCCACTCCGCGATCTGATTCCATGATACTCGTCTGCAATTTCTTGCATATTCGTCAGTTGTCCGAGCACACTGTCGAGTTTTCGTACGCTGATTTCAGTAGCTGTACGCGCAGCATAATCATTGTTCTCGTAGGGGCGGTATTCACACATGCTTTTGATCTCATCCCGAAGAGTCATCTGTATTTCCTGAATCATCATCATACCCGATGACAATGCACAAGAGTTAACCACGGTGGTGATCTCTGGAGCCATGAAAAAGGTTGATCCTCCGTTAGACCTCTATAGAACCTCTGTTCGAATTCAATTGTCAAGAATCTGGGATATGGGACATGGCACATGGCACGAGAATATATCGAGGGAAGTGCTCTGAATTGGAAAGCATCTAACAAGAAAACTTGGAAAAGATTCCTAAATGTCATGTCCATCAGGTTGATATGGCTCATTGTCACCAGGTCCACCTTTGTTTTAATCGAGCTTCGGTAAACCTCTCAGCACTCTTGAATGATTAAAAATTCCAGTGCAGTGCCTCAGGTGTACAATCGAATCTATACCATGACGATCCCAGATACTAATGTGCTCGATTTTCTTGCCAGTCGACGGATTCCTAGGGCCCTCAATTCAATTTGGAATTTCCTGTTTAGCAAAACCATGAACTCAAAACAACTGACTGATGTCGCTCTCTGAAAAAATCTGCTGAACCAAACAGCCGCTACCATCTCACGGAACATCACACATTTGTAAGGAAGGTTTGGAAAATTAAGGCACGAGACTGACCTTCACAGCCTGCATGAATTCATGACACTGAGCTCCGACAACATCGCTCCTTGGACCGCCTTGCTTTGCTAGTTCCTCCATCACACCACCGGCCAAATCGACTGTGTGCACTATCCTCTGCAACCCGCATGATCAACCGATTTTCAGTCCAACAACCATATCTGAGTCGAGGCTCGTAGCACTTCTCAAACACAACTGCAAAACCGCTGCCCGTCAGCATTATTGCAGACTGTCAGCACCAGAGTCCCAGTGTGTGTGGGGTAATGGACGACTTCATCCCTATCACCACGTTCCGCAATTATCTCTCTTCGTGCTCGAAAACTCATGCCAACAATCTGCATTCGAGAAGAAGGCGCCAAATTCATCCCACCCTCGCAAAGTCATCTTCAAACACCGATCGTGGTCAACTTTCAAACCGAAAGCTAGAGCTCGGGCTATGGATTCGGGTCTGTGAGACGTCACCTTCTCGACATGGTAGAGGCGTTGAAGGGAGGTCGATGGAGCTCCAGGTTTGGCAGTGAGTCCAGCCATTGCAAGCAGCGCGACACTTGCGTGGACGACGATGGATTTGCAGCGGTGCCTGGTGTCAGCGCTCGGGTGCCGAATCCTCGACGCGACTATTCGAGGAAAGTGGCGGATCTTTCAGCAAAAGATTCTCTCTGTGTCCGTGAGTCCGCGGAGTTTGCCCTAACCCTAAGCCCCTTGCAAGAATCATCCAAGTCCAATCCAATCCACGACGCAATTCCGGGATCGAGACTCGTTTCGGAGTGAATTGGAGTGCGCACGACGATCAGGGCTGCAGATTATTGACCACGGCAGAGACACAGCGGAGGTGCGGGCGGAGCTTTGAATTATGAGTAGAGGCAGGAGGAATCTGAAGCAGGGCTCGTTAGAAGGATGTCCGGAACCTCTGCCCGGCCAGATCCTGATGCGCGTCGTTGCTATGCGTGGCTCGAACGTCATAGAGGTATTGCGAGGTTTGCCAGGACCGATTTCATTGCGGCCAACGACGGATTTTTTGTCCCGCAGATACCGCATTGTGGCGGAAGTCTCTAGCAATTCCGCAGTAGGAATTGCTACCGACGCTCAATGCGAGTCCATTCAGCGATTTTGTTCCTGTACATGATTTTTTTAGCTTCTTCTCGGACGCAGGTGGAGGATGCTGATGCACAGAAGACGCTCTGTATGCTTCCTGCCAAATTCCACAAAAGCATGTGGATCAAGCGAGGTAAGAGTGAGTGCCATCTCACATGGACGATTGGACGGAGGAGGGCTTCATTTGAAAGCGGTCTGAGGTTCTCGCCTCGATACGGCTTTCACTTCGTGAAGGTGTGTGTGCGAGGTCAGGTTTGGCATGTCAAGGCACGCTGACACCATCAGTCACTCCGCCTGCGCAGGCAATTTCGTACTCGTCGACGAGGGCGACCGAGAGAAAGCCAGGGAGGCTGGCAACAAGGTCACGGGCACGGTTGCGCAAGTTTTGTACGACGAGCATCTTCGAGAACTGAGGAAAACTTCATTCTGGTAAGAAAATTCTCGAACGAACCATGACTGTCAGGACTGATTGCGGACGGCAGGAAGAACGTGAATTTCAAGTGGTTTGGCCGAGGCCGACGATTCAAGAATGCGACGTGACACGCCCACTCGAAACTCCTCTTTTGCAGGTCTCCTGCGTTTGATGCGACCGCAAAGCCCTCAGACAGTGGTGCCGACCAAACCAGCACTCATTTCAAACATGAAGCCAACAACAAAATCGATGGCGATTCGGAGAGCGACGAGGAAGAGGACGACGGACTGCCTCCTTTGGAGGCGAACATGAACAGGAGGCACGCCATGAGTCTTGTCGAGAACTCAGAATCCGACAGCGACGACGAGTGACAGGTTTCAGCCCTCGGGGTCTGTCCGATGAAGCTTACAGAAAGCACGCCCCCATCGCTCAACCTCGGCAAGTGACGGATTCCTTTCTAGACCAGCAGAGGCTTTGGCGTCCCGCCCATGCCTTCTGGCTCAACCCAGATCTCCATTGTGGCTGAGAATCGGAAACTCTTGATGTCGCAGTGAGAATGTCCACTTCCCTCAGGACTCGAGGGCAGCGCAATGCGTTTGGAAAAGCGCCATAGCCACCATTAGCGCCACGTGTCGAAGGAAATCGATGCTGAGGAAATGCAAGACTGCACGACAATCGATGCTGATGGAAACGAAGAGGGCCCAAATCGGATGCGGCACAAGGCCTCGTCCTTCTGAGGCAGCGTATATAATTAATTGCCTGTTCTGCAGCCACGCATGCGCAACGGGCTTGGTCCATGTCGACCATTGTTCGGGAGTTTTAGACGTGCAGGTTAAGGTCAATGTAATGGCTGAATGACGCCTGTAAATTTTCTACGAAGAAGCCGTTCTCAAGGTGTTAATTTGAAGCTCCTGTGGCCCCCGATTTTGTTCCTGTTATCATGACCATGATTGTCACCAGATCTCAACCAAGAACACTTACTTGCTATGTGAATTTGTTATACTATTTCTATCATAATACTATTTCTAATTTACTTTAATCGCTATATAAGTCCACCAAAAGTATATAAATAAATATAAATTTTCTTATATTCTATCTATGATAGAAATATACGAAGAATTCACAATAATTGTAACTCTATTTATTTTTTAAAAAAATTATTATACTGTAATGTAACATACATGATATTGTAATATTTTCACATAATTTTCGGTTTATAATTTTTTTAAAATTTAGATAACTTCTGGAAATAGTGTGATTTTTTAAAATGTAATTCTTTTATCATTAATTTAGCTTTACTTTGATTATTCGAAAATATTATCAAAATCACATAAATGATGATTATACTATTTCAACAAAACTAAAGAAATCTACATATATGAATTTGGTATACTACACTAGAGAAAAATTACAACAAATTTTATTGCATCAAATGTAATACACAATCTTAATAATAGACATATTATTTTGATTTACAACCAAATATTGTTATTTAAAATGAGTCAACAAAATTTATAGTCTAGACCATTTTACACTACTTTAATAATTATTGAAAATATAAATTATATGATATTGATTATGTATTAATTTACTATTGAAAATTTCAATCTAAGTAGAAGTAGCTAAATAATTTGATAAGAACATATTGCAAAAGAAATATGTCAAATAGTACGTGGATTATTGAATGTCATGAAAACTTGATTTAAAATTAAATAAATTTTCATTACCATTTATAAAAAAATTCATCACATTTCAAACTATACACAAATTTTATTTACATCAAAAACTTGATATGATTAAAGATAGATAGTCTAGAATTTACCACTCAATAAAATGCATTATTAGAATTAGATTAGAAATTTTCTATAAGTTCAATTGCAATCATTCATTAACTTTAACTAGCGGAGTTTTTCAATCATCAATACAACATTTTTTTGAACCTCAAATATAATAATTTTTAACTCGAACATTGTATGATGAAGAGTGAGATAGTTAAAAATAATAAAATACTAAAGACTTTGTTATTAATGTGACAAAGCTAAAAACATTTCAAAGAGAAGATTGATCACATACCTCTTTGAATACATCCATACATCAATACTTCATGAAGCTCATAACAAAAAAAATATTTATATTTTTATTGTTATCTTTCCTACATCTTCAAGACTTGTGTTAAAGTTCTTACAAAAATTTTAAATCATTGCATTATTTACGATAAAGATTTGAATTTTCAATAAAAAATGAAAAGTTCTTCATATTTGAAATCTAAAAAAGTCTCAATATATTATATTTGTCTCATCTTGATTTGTTGATACTTTCAAACTTGTAAAATATAGAAATGAATATTTATTTATTTATTTATTTATTAAAAGCTATTATTTAATATACAACTTGATTTCATGAAAATTTAATTTCTTAAATAAAAATGTGATTTTTTATGCATCATCATTGTAACATTATGTTGCTAAAAGCTAACTTAGAGCTTGATTGACTTTGTTAGCTTTATTGTGATGAATTAATCTAGTTACTTTACTTACTATTATACAAAAGAAGTGATCAGAACTCTTAATAATATAAGTTAATTTTTTTTGTTCTTTGTGTGTAGCCCAAAATAATCAACCATGTATATTTTGTGTCATCAATATGTTTGAAATTTATACTCGTTGTGAATTGTCAACAATCATAACATATAGAATCTATCATCACTACCATCATGAACAGCAAATTAAAATCAATGCTTTTGGATCTTTGCTAGCTTTTATCTATGACATCAACAAGTCATTCTTGCATGTAAATGATGTTATGTTTTGCTATTGCAATCTCACATCTTAAAACTACTTGAGATCATTAGACATCTAGACAATAATGGTGATGTGTTTTTAAAAATATATCCATTCATTTTTACGTAAGATGTATTTTTGATAGCAACTCATCAATCCAACTATTTTTCATGACTAAAATTGTGTTACACAATCTTTAGGTTCATCATTCAACATAATATCTCAAGTTCAATTCAAGGTAATTATGATTCAAAATTGTTATTGATGAAACAAGTTTTCACACAAAAATCTTTCCAAACTTGCTTGATATTTTCAATTTATTTTCAATAAATATAATTTTAGAATTTAAAATGATTATTTATGATAATTAATATATATTTCCACAATGATTAATTTTGGTACATATCGTTTATTTCCTAATCATCATTAACATGACAACATATCAATCTATAGAATCTTTATGGCAAAATGTCATTGGAGTAACTAAAACTTCTAGAAATTTAATCTTAGATTCAGCTCGATCAATCAGATTTTTCTACTCAATATATCTAATCAAAAATACTAATCCTAAAAATAAAAAATATTTATTTTTATTCACGAGTTTTCGTAACTATCTTTAATTTTTTCTAACTATAGATATTTTAATATATATTCATAACAAAGTACATTTTGTCGCGATCAATACTACCATCCACAATTTTTACTTTATTAACGATAAATTCAATTTTAAAACTACATATCTTGTGATTTAAAGAGAAAGATTGTTGAACGTTTGACATGATGTTGAAATATGTGGAAGAAAAATCAATATGCAACACAAAAAATATCCCTATAAATTAAAAACTTTGACGTCAGGGGTAGTCAAAATAAAATTGTCATTTCAACGTGAAAAAGTGGAGCAAATAATCAATAAGTGGTTGAATTGAAAGTATAACTCCCATGTGATAAACCAATTAAATAAGTCAAGAAGTAATATAATAAAGAGTGCTAATCCAACTTGAACGATTGAAGCAAGAAATGAACATTGATGTCAACACCATCGTTAGAATACGGATTATATGAAATGATGCACAACAAAAAAATTTTATGATTTCAATCAATTTTCATTTACAAATAATTTATTATTGCAATACCTCAGTTTCAAATTATCAAATTATTCATCAAGTCTTGATTAGCTTTTTCTTTTTGACTACCAAAATCTTGAGTTGATATTCTAACCGTTTTTGCCAATTCAATATTATCTTGTGTAACAATGTTATACAGTGAATGCTAAAGACAAAGTCATAGAACTTTAAAATGAAAAAATATGAAACAACATCAAATTGATGAAACTAGTTGAAGATGCATTTATTGTGAATGCAACTATTCAAATTATTATTGTTGGGCAATCACTTTCATAAGTAGCATTGATGTTAAACAAATGTCTATTTGTGTTAAGCAATGTAGTATTGAAACAATCTCAACTGAATATAATAGCTAAGATTGATGTAATCAAAGTAATAAATCAATATTGTTTTGTGATACTTGTGAACATCGCATATTTTACTTCCATAGTTTGAAATCAACATGTTTTATCAAACAATTCCTGCAAGTTAGCAATTAGAAATTTTGCAAACATCCAAAAAAATTAAATAAACCTCCAATATTTGGATCTATGATCTTTTGAAAATTTTACTCGTGAGCTTTATATTTTATTCCGATATCTCTTTTATATTTTACATTTAATTCTAAGAAAATTTATTTTAAATAGTAGTATTTTCAGGATAGAATATACTTCTATACTTTTTCAAATTTAATAATTTTATCATTATCAGTCTTAAAGATTTGAAAAAATTCAATTTATTGTAAAAGAAATAAGTTATTGCAATACATGTGTGATCATAAATATTAAAAATGTGCTCTTCATTTAGATTTGTTTCAAAAAATATAATTATATATTATATATGAATTTTTTTAAACAAATAAAACGTTAAATGAACATATGTAACATTTGGTATAAAGATAGAAGCTGAATTAAGATGTATCACGATTGTGAAGATGAGAGATATCTAAAATAAGTCTACTATTACTTCATTCTTTTTTGTTAATAAGTATAAAAAAAAGCTTTAGTTCCATCATCCATTTCATTCCTCTCGGATTGATTACATACCAGAGATAATTAACAAATACGAAATTTACACATGTTTTGTTATCAAGTAATACATTAACTACCACACTCAATCTTTATGTAAATAACATACAAAATGATGTTTTGTTGTTGTTAACTAACACATTTGCTCTTTATCTATTAAACAAATGAATTGATGACATTGCAACTATAAATTGTTTTGTTATAATGCAATTGTATCTCTAATTTGTATTATCTTTTCTTTAATTTAAATCAATAAAATATGTTTACGACATAATTTACTTTATAAGAAAAAATGTCTTTTTAAGTGAAAAAATAGTTAAATTATACTATTTTCAGCAAACAAATCTCAAAATTATGAAATTGAAACTACATTGAATTTTTATTAAAAAATTTATCAAACAATATCTTGAAGATTATTTTTTCATGAATAAAAATGAAATTTTTTAACAAAAAGCAATGATCAAATTTAAAGAATGTGATATTTATGATAATTATAAAGATCAAAATAAATAAATATGAAAAAATACAACAAACGTGATATAAAAGTTCTTAGTAAATAAAATTTAAAATGAAGTTAATTATTACAAATATGGTCAAGTTATGAACGCTTAAATATTCCTTAATATTAACAAATATTGTTGAATAGAACTTCAAAAAACTTATAATTGATAATACTTTTGATTGCTATTGAAAAATTCTTTAAAACTATTAAAATTAAGATCCGATATCATATGAATTTTTTGATGATCTAATAATTAAATTTTGATGATTTTAAAATAAAATAAATTTTAAAATAAACATTATTTTCATGTGTGTTGTTTTATTGTGATAGCACAAAATCACTTGTAATGAAAATTAAAATTTTTAATTAACTAATAACTTATAAAAAATGATATGATTTTTTTCATTTAGTATGCTATTGCGATATGATTAAAATATTCATATTCATATAATGACAAAGATTACAAGAATTTTAAATCAAAAAATAAATAGAATTTTTAGAGTAAATATTTCAAAAATAAAACGGTGAATTCTTGAAATTATGGCAAATATAGTCA